CAAATCCCCGCCCCACGAGCATGGCGGAAGAAGCCCTGTACGGGTAGGATGCCAACCCTGCACACACCATCTTTTCGAAAAGTTTTCGCACGGAAGCCACAGTTCGCCACAGGAGTACGGGCAGCAGCAAGGCCACTAAGACGGATCAAGGCACCTTAATTCCACGCTGTTTGATAGGGCCAAAAGTGAGAGGTGTGCCGCAGGGTTGGCATCCTACCCGTACAGAGCTTCTTCCGCCATACCTCCGTCCGCCGTAGGTCTTGTTTTATAAAGTCCCATCACTCCCCAGAGAGCCAACGAGCACACGCCTCGAATTTGGCTGGGAAGGTTGCAGGTACCTGTCAAGTGAGCAATAAAGCTAGGTGGCTTCTCGGCTTCGACAAGAGGGAGTTTTTTGTTAGAGGTATCCAACCCGCCCCAAACACGGCCTCCGCCACCCAGAAGGAGGAGAAGGAATGTTCGGTGCTGAGGAGAGATACTTGGGCCTCGAAGTCTTCTACTTCTACATACGAGTGGCCCACCATCCACCATCCACTAAACCGCTCATCAGGACACCACACCGAGTGATACACTGTGAAGACATTCCTCCAACAGCCTACAAGTCTAGCTCCCCTACGTAATGGGTCTTGGAATGTGGGGTTCTCTGGCTTGGAGGAGCTCTGAGTAAGTTTGGCTGACATCGATACAGTAGCACGAGGACGAGTTGATCGGAATGGACTCCCGCATTAGTCGGATACGGATGGACTATCGCCGCTTGGCCACCACCACCTTACGTGTGTAGATCCTGAGCATAATAGATCATGGGTATGTGAATAACGCTCATACCGCCACAGTAGATCAGGATGTATCACGTAGAGCACTCTACTAGTAGAATCCACAGTCCCACTCCACCACAGTCCCAAAACAACCCTTACCCATAGCTGCCATTATATCCGAGTGACATCCCATGACACACCCAATCCCCAATCCAGCCAATCCCTTCACAAACGGCACTGCCACACCCGACTGCCGCGCGGCACAGCAGCCCTCCCGGGTGCTCCCTGCCAATTGCCTCCCCACTCCGCTCCCCCACAGCACACTCCCGAACAAAAAACAGAAAACAGAAAACAGAAACAAAGGAAGGGCCCGCGAGGCGTTGCAACGCATGCACGCAATCCCCCCCCCCCCCCCCCCCCCTTAACTCCGACCGGCTGCTGACGACGTTCGACGGACCAAGAACACAGCCACTGTAGAAATAGAAGAAAAAAGAGTCTCGCTACTCTAAGGTACGGACGGGTAGGTACATACATGCACAGATCGAGAGTAGCTAGCGTAGAGCAGACGGTGGTGTAAAGTGCGTGTGTGTGTGCATCCGGCTTGACGTCCGAGCGTGCGTGGATGGATGCGGCGCCTACTCTGTGCAAAGAGGTGGTGGTGGTGGTGGTGGAGAGGAGAAGGACCCTATCCCTATCCCCGCAGCGCATCACGTCGGCAGCCACACTGTGGGATAGGCAGGTGCTCTGCTCTGCTTCTACGGGGAGTGTGATGGAGCAGCAGAGCAGAGAGCAGGACTACTTTACATGTAGCTAGCAAGCAAGCACTGTGCCCGAGGACTCGCACGACTCACACCCAACCCCTGCTGCCGCTATCGGTTACGCGTCACCCCGGTCCCAACGACACTTTAATTCTGTTGTTGGAGAGCTGTTCTCTACTGGGCCGACCTAGCCAACGTCAATACATAACCAAACCTCCTTCACTCCTCCACTCCTCCACTCCTCCACTCCTCATCATCCCCCTCCTCCCCCTCCTCCTCCTCCTCCTCCCCCTCAAGGACCATCCATCTTCCTGTCCATCCATATACTCGAGAGAGAGCTTCACCACCACACAGCAGGAGCAGCAGAAGAGCATCACCACAGCAGCCATGAAGCGATTAATGACCTCGTTCAAACGCAGCAACAGCAGCAGTAAGCACCCCCCTCCCCCTCCCCGCCCCACAGCTACTAACCCCCCCACAGGCCGCCGCTCCCCATCCCCCAACCACCCCGCCCCCAACCCCAACGACCCCCCCGAAACAGCCATCCTCAAATCCCTCACCCTCTTCATCACCTCCGGCGGCCCCTCCTCCGCCGCCGGCTCCGAAGTCCTGCACCTCCCCGCCATCGTCGACATGGCCGAGTCCTCGCCCACCGCCTGCACCGCCGCCGCCGCCGCCCTCCGCAAGCACCTCGACCCCAAACACAACGCCACGCACCCGCACAAGCAGTACAACGCCATCATGATCCTGCGCATCCTCAGCGACAACCCCGGCCCCATCTTCACGCGCAACCTCGCCGACCCCAAGTTCGTCGCCGCCGTCAAGGACCTCCTCCGCCGCGGCGCGGACCCCAGCGTGCGCCAGATCCTCGGCGAGACGCTCGAGTACTGGGAGGGCGCCAAGAGCGCGGACGAGGGGCTGGCGCCGCTGCGCGAGGTGTGGCGCAAGGAGAAGCGCTCGATGAACTACGCGGCGTCGCTGGCCCACGGCGGTGACGCGGCCGTCCCGAATGCCCCGGAGACGCACCGCGCGGAGCGTTCCCGCCACCAGAGCAGCCACCAGAGCTACCAAGGCCACCAGGGACTGCCAAGCATGCTGGAGCTCACGGCGCGCATCTCGGAAGCGCGCACGTCCGCGTCGCTGCTCGAGCAGGTCCTACAGTCTACGCCGCCCGCAGAGGTATCCACCAACGAGCTCGTCAAGGAGTTCGCGGACCGCTGCCGCACGGCGACGAGGTCGATCGTGAATTACATACAGGCGACGGAGGACGAAGACACTATGACGACGCTGATCGAGACGAATGATCTGTTGGGATTGGCGCTGGAACGGTATACGGCGTTGGTGTCTGCTGTGCCGACGCCGGCGCCGGTGCCGGAGGAGGCGAGGATCGTGGATGTGGGCGGGGAGGGGGATGCGTGGAGTGCGTATGCGGCGGAACATACGGACCGGGCGGAGGACGTGCCGGCGAGGACGGGGAGTGCAGCGGCAGGGGCAACGGCAGGGGCAGGTGCGGGTGCGGGGCAGCACCTGGTGAGGAGGAGGACGCCGCCGCCGCCGCCGAGGGCGGAGAGTCCGGTGTCGCCGATTGTGAGTTGATTCTTTGATATTGGGGGTGGGGATTGTTGCTAATTGGTGTGTGTGTTGTAGAGTCCGGACCCGCCGGTAAATTATCGCTATTAAAGCTGGTTTCGAGTCTTGCTCTGGGTTTGAGTATAAGCTCAATTGGTAGCTCAGCAGCTGTTACGAGGCGCTTGGTTTTGAGCTAGGGTTTTATTTTTCTTTATTTTTTTCTTCATTTATATCTTTTATGTACAGAAATGGGGTGTTCTTTTTTTTTTATATGTTTCTTTTCTTTCTATTTTTTATTACTATTAAGGTGGTATGGGTTGCGCTCGCTTTTTATATTTATATCCCGTGTTTTTGTGGTTGTTTCTTTTGGGATATGAGATATCAGAGTCGGAATGAGATAAGGTGGACAGAGACAGAGATGGAGTGGATGTGAGTAGTTTTTTTTCCCTCTCACTACTTTTTGTTTGGATACCAAAGATGTTAAAACTGGAATAACCGCCGCGGTGAGGTTGAGGTGGAAGACGCAATTGGGAGACGTAAATGACAATGGGAATTAAGACGGGAAGAAAAGATGCAAATAGCCATGGCAGGATGAGGGGAAAGGACAAGAAAAGACGGGAGGGAATGGAGATATGTAATGCGATTTCAAAGATTTCAAAGGAACGACATCTAAGCTAGATTCCATGAGCTACAAACAAAACCCAGGTGATCATTACCAACCGAGTGAATCTCCGTGACTCTGAATGAATATCGAGTGAATCACCATGATTCATGATTGGCCAATCGAGAAAAATTCCTTGCGTGGTGACGGGTCTAGTAAAGAAAGATATATATGATGGCGCCGGGCGTTTAAGAACCCCCATATTTTGCCACAGTAGGGTCAATTGGAATTGGACCAAAAGGTACAAGATATTTGACAATGGCCAGTCTGTATAGTAGAGCTTCTCTCTCTCTCTCTCTCGCTCTGGTAATAAGACTATATTGAGAGGATTACTTACACCAGCATTTCTGTCATGATGTGGTAGTTGTGATGATCGCAAAAGCTATGTACCTACATACAGGTTTGGTTTTGTGTGGTGAAGGGTTCCCCAATCCCGATTGCCAAACCCCAATGGCAATTGGCCATTGTGGAAACGAGGTTTAGTTACTCTAGATGGGTACATAGTTAAAATCCAGGGTTAGGGATGCATGGGTATGATAAGAGTAGCTAGCTAGGGTTAAGTCTAATACACTTTTCTCCAACCCGTAGAGAGAGATCTAGAGTGTCATAGCTTATGGGCATAGGGCATACACGGATGAATTACCCCGTGGGGAGAGAGAAAAACGTCAAGTCTGAATACCAATGGCTGGATTTACTTGTTATAATACCCGGCGCCGTAGTAGGAAATCTATATCTCTAAATCCATTTCCGCGCCGGCCCGCGGTCTAGCTATCTAGCCCAATACAAAGCTACCTGTAAGTAACGCGACCAAGGTATAAAAAAATCCGTCTAGTACTACAAATACCACAACCACAATTGCAACCCACCACCAGTCTACCCCACCATTTAGACTCCTGATGATGCACGAAACGATACCTTCCGCTGGAAGAGAAAAAAATACAATATATCTCTTTTTTCGTTGGCCAACGCCAAAAGAAGTAAAAAAAAAAAAGAACGCCCACGATGCCGAAAAAAAGAAAGACAATAAAGAAAGTAAAAGAAAGGAATCAAATGTGCCAGTTGTACATATGTACGCAAACCCCCAAAAAGAAAGGGAAAAAACGAATCCTCTACCTCTACCATACGCCGGGAAAAAAACACCAAACCATGAAACCCATTTAAACAAGGCCCCCCCTCAACGCCTAAACACCCAGGTATGCACATACAATCCCATAATGGCCCAAAGGCTCACAAACGCCGCAATTCAAACGCCGCAATTCAAAACTGCGCCGTACTAGACCACTCTTTGCTTGGTACGTCCGCGTCATATTCAGTGCAACTACTGTAGCCACTCGATATCGTAGACGAGGACATTGAGGACGACGCCGACGACGCTGCAGAAGCAGTGCTGTCTTGCCGCTCTCGCGCGCGGAATGGCATCTTGTCGGCGGCAGAAAGCCTAGGGGACAGCGGTGTGCGCGGGGTCATTGTTAGGCGGCCAAGCGAGGAGAGCGCATATGCTGCGGGTGTTTTTGTGGAACGGAGGTATGAGGAGGACGCAGTTGTGGTGGTCATGGTTCAGGTTGAGGTAGGTATATAAGATCTTTTAAGGCAGTGTTAATTTGGGGGGAAGAAAAAAAAAACTCAAGCGGGAATTGAGAAGGGTTATATACCTTAGGGCAAAAGCTTTTTTTTTTTTTTTTTTTGCGGGGGGAGAGAAAGAATTTGCAGGATGTGGAGGAGGGGGTCAAGAAGCAATTATATATTCCGAATTGGGCCAATGAGAAGTTCTAGAATACTGATTAGAACAAAAAACTACCTGCTCAGTGGGGGAGGGGGGGTTATAAATACCACTATCTTGGATCTTAAGCTATGCAAGGGGACGGTACCCTGAAGAAATGTTAGAAGGGGAGGCAGGTCAGAAGCCGAAAAATAATTACTCACCTCGGGGAAGTCGTGACCAGCTGAAAATTCGTTTTGGGAATGTGAATGCAAAAAGGAGGGCACGTGAGGCTGTGTGTGAGTTGTAGGTTGTATGCCGTTTGGTCGTGTGAGTAGGAAGAAGGCAGGTAGCTAAGTAGCTTTACAATGCCGGAGCAGATTTGCGACTTATATGAAGGGTAGAAAAAGGGCAGAACGGAACAATAAATTTATGTGGTGGATGATGTTATAAATCTCCGTGGAGAAGGCTCAGCGCAGTTATATAATCGACAATTGGACTGGCTTCAACTGAATACCTATTCAACTGTATGTATCTGACATGTGAAAGTATACAAAAACGCATACAACAGCGCTAAACTGCTGGTACGTACAGTGTACTATGATGTATGCACGATTCCGATCCGAGTGCTACCAAGTGCAATGCAAATCCAACCAACACCCCACATACAGGGAGTGAACATACCCCATTGGTTGGTTACGCGGTGTTTCTCGATTATCGCAAGGTGATCGAAAGCTTAGTTTTACCGGGTGGACCGAGACGAGAGGAAAAAAAAACGTTTCGCTGTCAGTCGAGCTGTTCTACTACTGGTGTGGTACGTGGTTATTGAATTTTTGTTTCCAGTTGGTAGGAGTAGAGTACTTTAGCTACCATGTAGCTAGGGGTGAACTCTACTCTGGATTAGCTATGTATGCTCTGACATGGTGCCAAGACTTACTTGATAGGTGCATGCAGGAATCCCTGCTCCTCAGTCTTTGAGGAAGACAGAGTAATTGGTAGAGAATGATGCTGGTATTGTGGGGCTCAAGTCTTTGAAAATCATAACCGTAATGATCAAGAAAAAGGAAATTTTTCAAAGATGTGATGGCACTCTGGCCCCACGATATAGCGACTGTCTCTTAGCTCCACGGTGTCTTTTGTAGCAGTACCCCCCACGACGTTTGAAAGGTTAATTAGTGATTTCTAGTGCCACGTACTCGAAAGTGTGTAGAGAAAGTATATTGATTTAGGAGAGGACAAACAGGTCTAAAGACTCCATACCACAAGTTCTTGGCGTTGTATGTGCTACTTGAAGTATTTAAAGTTCTTACTCGGGAGTGACACAAGGCACTTGACGAAAACAGCATGGTAAGACGTAACTACATGTAGTAGGGATCTTGTGCCTCACGCTGCTTATTTCAAAGTAGAAGAATTCGAGTTGTCTAATATTTGAGCAAGGCTTGACGTATAGTACGTGTAAAGAGCGTGTTAAGACCAAAATAAACTCTATCCCTGCTTCCACTATGGTGTTTTAGAGTCCCTCTGGCTGTGAAGAATGTCGAGTGATACCACATGATTATCTATGACATCGACCTCTCTGAACGTCCTAATCCCAAACAATCCGTTACTCTACTCTGAGTCCACGCACCGACACAAAATCTAAAAAGAGTTTATAAAGTACCTACAAATAATAGCAACGATACAAAAGAAATGATAATGATAGCAATAATAACGATACTTAATCGGACAGGGGCGGACCCTGAAGTTGGTGGTTAGTTAATATATAGCACCTGAAGCAAAGGCATACAGGTGGCAGATGGAAATGAAGTTGACAAGATAATTCTAACATCGAATCCCATATCACTCCTTCATAACCTGACTCTACAAATAAACAAGCATGTTTACACACAAAAGAGATGCTCAGAGAGGGCGTATTCTGATTCTTTCGTCATGTCTAGCAACCGACCATCCAATGGTTTTGCCAGCCAACCCGACACTGTACACAATGAAATAGAAACTTGTACAATAATCTGCTAGGATAAGGGCGGGTAAGTGGGAGGAGAAAAAGAAAGAAGAGGAACCATACGGGGGTTACTAGAAGAAAATTAACAATAAAATGCAATAACAATAACCCCCACCCGCCAAGCCAGCCCGCCTTGTTCCGGTCCTGAGCATACAATAAATATTTCCCCATGTTCCATCCAAACCCATCCGATTTCTACAACAGGTTCAACGTACTCCCTCATATTGTCTGTACGCCTAAGCTAACCTTTATTCCGTTTCCATTCGCCGCGGCTCTACACCTTGAGCTCCAGAAAAAAAAATATATAGGAAAATATAATGACAAAAGAAAATTCGTTCCCAAAACAACAAAACCCCAGTTCTTTTATGTCAAAAGGAAAAAAAAAATATATAGTCCGGCAGGCAAGGCCCTGGATCAAGATGAAGAAAAAAATGAGATGGGATAGTAAAAGAAAGCAGCACCCGACCCCAATCATCGTCTCGTGCTCTCTAATCTCCCCATCCCATCATCATCTTCACTATAGCTATCCGAATCCTCTGCCAAATCCGTTAACCCCACCGCACTTTCTTCGTCATCCCTCCCCAGTAGTCTTGCGCCAATGCTGCTCCTGGTCCCTCCAACATCGGACCTCCGCAGCTGCATGCTTCGTCGTACCTGGAGTCCAGTGATGCCATCTGTCGGCACACCTTCATCATAGCTTGTCGAAGCTCGGCCGTTCGCCAGAATTCGTTTTCCATTGGGGTCTGTTCGAGAGATATTGAGAAGATATACGCCACTGAAAATGATTAGGAAGCCACAAAGAAGCGAGATGGTGTTGACGGGATCGGTAGTGTTAAAACCCTGGAAAAGAATGAACGAGGCAATTAGGGTGGCAGTCGTGAAGGTGACGTAGTAAAGAGGTGTAACTCTAGTCAGCGGGATATATATTAGTCTTGATCAATGCTATTGTATGTGGAAGCCCAAAGGGTGATGGTGGTTATACAAAGAACTTGAGAACTGGGTCAAAGCCTTATTAAAGTAGTTCATCTGGGTAAGAATGCAGACTCCAACAACAATAACGAATACATATGTACTAGGATGCGTAAATTGATTTTCCGACTTGTCGCCAGCAAAGGTCAATTTGACAGCAATACCGAATGCTTTGGAGCTCATGACTGTCAATGAACCAACAGTCCCACAGATTGAAATGTAGATAAGTGGGTTCTTCTTTCCGTATTTCGGGGATACAACGTAAATCATTACCGATGAAAAGATAATGACCAATACGCAGTAAAGCAAAAAGCCTATTCACAAGGGCAAACCTGATTAGATGCATGTACAGAACTGGGGAAGCTACTGTAGAAAAGTACGTACCTGGCTGAATTGCGTAGTTCAAGATTTCATCAATGGTAGTGATCTCTTTGTCTGGAGGTGCGTGAAGCACGATGATCACGCTACCGATCAGACAAATTGCACATCCTAGCTTCCCTAAGACTCCCAATTCCTCTTTGAGGAAATATGTGCCCAATACTGCACTATTGCGCCATGGAAATCTCCGTTAGCCAAACTCAATTTCCCCAGATATTGTTCGATATTAGATTATAGCGCAACGCACCCAACCAATACACTCAATGCGCCTAGAGGCGTGACCAAGATTGCCGGTGCAAACGCGTATGCAGCAAAATTCGCAATCTCCCCGAGAATCACTATTCGGTGGGGAAAAGCAGTAGGTTAGTAAAAAAATAAAACTAAGGAGCCGCGCAGGCATGACTCGGGACTTCTCTTCAAGTTGAATCAGTGGGTCCCTTACTAGTTACCATCCCAACCCACCATATGGGGTTCTTTAGATATGTAAACCCCTCCCCTTCGAACCCCGTTCGATCCGCCGTATCTATCAGTCCCTATAGCCGCCGAGGCTGAGGTTAGCGATGCCTGAGAAGACCCCCACACCAGGGAGTGGGAGACGGATATCCGCCGTGAGAGTGTACTTTTTTTGTTAATATAAAGCTTGTTCCTACCACAACGAAGAAACACAATCAGCCACAATATTTACCCCCCAAACTCAGCCTAGACGGAAAGAGCAAAACAAACCTATAGCCATGCTAGAGGTTATAGCCAAAAGTAACCCAATGTATCTGCAAGGCGCCACGACAAGAAATAATCAGCTTCCCCGCCTTGCAATGACGAAATGGCAAATGGTGACGGAATGCGCACTTCTCCTCCATTTTGAAGATCGAACTCTAGAACCTCCTAAATCTTCCTTTTTATGCGCAGTAGATCCAAGGATCTCCGAGAAAATGCAATAATATGATGGATCTAATGTTTGGCCCCTCCTCCCTCAGCTAGCTTTGAGTGAGGCTCTGTAGTTGTATCTTGAGAATGAAAAGAAAGTGGGTAAACGAGCGAATTGAATCCAGCGTCGCGTGAATGAATGAGAAACGATGAAGCAGTAAAGAGCGTGTGTAGGAGAGCGCGCTGATGTGGTTGTTGAAAATCGTATGGGGGTGGTCTGTTATCGCGATTGAATCTGAAGGCCACGCGGCAGGAGTCTAAGACCAGTAAGAGGTGGAAGTTTGTTCGAGGAGAATAAGCCTAGTGCTGGGGGTGTTCAAACGGGTAAGTCCTAGTTTGGGTAGGAGCACAGCGTGCGTAGGGCAGAGAAACAGACGCAACTTCTTGAAGATGCTCTCTGAGGGGTTCGTTCGGTAGAAAGGCACAGACAATGCCTTTGAAAACTCAAGGAAAGTTGCACAGGTCGCTCGCTCAGTGCCAGTAGACGTAGAGTAGGCAAGGCAGTCCGCTGTATGTAATACCTACGTGCGCGAGATCTCCCAGGGGGTGTGTGTAAGGGTAAGTATGTATGGGGAGGGGGGGGGGGTCTAGAGTACGTATGTATGAAGGGGAGAATTCCAGCGGAAAGACGTCTGTCTGACTTTGCAGTAGCAGCCCGTAGCTGTCCTTGCGTTGCGGGGATAGGTAGCTATCTCGGTATCTCGAGACACATAGGAGAGAGATGGCAGATGCCTTGAGGTATGTAGTTTACAGAACGATGCCCAGCATTGAAGCCTGGGAAATCTGTCTTTTTTTCTTTACTTGGCCCCGATACAACACATGAGAGGTCGGTTCGGCTGGCGATCACCCAGCAGCATGCAGCAAGAGCAATAGAGCACTTCTACCCGCGCAACTGATCCTATTTTTAACGCCCAGCCTGAGAAAACAAGGGCCTCGGTGCACACGCCGAATTCAAGGTTGCCTTAACACTTTCCCAACGAAAGAAATCCATATGTACCCAATAGATACTATATAAGTCAGGTTTCCAGCCTCAGCTGAGTGGATCTCCTCTTTCCTTCAAAACTTTATTATTTATAGACTTCTTCCATCGAATTTCTGTCACCTTGGTTCTGACACTTTTTGAAACACCGTCTCTCCATTTCTCCAGTTGGTTTTGGTTCCGATAGTGTGGAAACAGTATGGAAACAATCTGGGACAAGTCGGAAAATGTTGAGGAAAACGCAGGGACCACCAGGCCGTTCCCCCCCCCCCCCTCTGGCCCTTCACACCAGCGTTTCACATCCGCCCTCCTGAAATCCTCCCCGCGCGTAATCTTCCTGAGCACTCAGAGCGCCTCCCCAGACGACCTGTCGGACCCGTGGCCCGATTAGCGAACTTGGTTCTTCTTCCCACGTGAGCTCTGCAAGGTGATAAATGATACCCCGTGTGTACCCGAGGCTCGGTACTACTATCTACACATTATCAGATCTAATACTGAGCCTCCTCGTCGTGCAAAATTACAATCAAATCTAGCGAGGGTGTTGTCCTATTACAGATCAACTTTAATTGTTTTACCCTCCCTCCAGGAGAGTGCTTGTAAGATCGACGTGATTCTGGCAGATTAGTAACGGATAAAGGGGTGTTGTTGTTTCGGCTGTTACGTTTTCTTGGGAAAACAAAATGCTACCGGTACCGTAGATATATGCACACACTTGCCAGGATATTTAATAATCTCGCCAAAAGTCAATACCAAGAAAGGAGTGTATATGTATTTTTGTCGTGGCAGTTGTTAAACCTTGATAGGAGGTTCATAAGTAATAGTCGTCTGTATATCTTAAGCCATGATCCCTTCAACCTCCCAGGTGATATCAAATATCGATTGATACTGCAGTACCATGACCTAGATTTCTGGGTATGAAGAAGATCCGTTTATCTGTCGGCCACGGCGCCGAAATTTCAACCCTCAGCCTTTTTAGCCTAATAAATCGATCGTCAAGATATTCAACCTCTTGACCGGTGCTAGATGTGTATATTTGGACAATTTGGTTATATATATCATACCTTTGACGGAGTACAAGTACCGATTACAGCCGAATCAGATTCCTTCAATGATTTCGTAACTAGCATTCATAAATCTCATTGGAGTGTGTGTATGTATGATGCTATTTCTTCATCCGAGCAAGTGCTTACGAGGAATTAAATGGCTGCTAGCATTGGCGATCAATACTGTTCGCATCTCCCTATGTAATGCATGCGTCGATATCTTAGCCTGGTATGGTAAATTATAAAGTGACTTCAGTACTATAGCTCTTCATCTTGTCAGAACCACAATATATATATATCTGGCGAAGGTACTACATAACCCGAAGTAGCTAGAGGATTTGCTGCCAAAAACCCACCCCTGATAGGAGACTGGTGAGCTTTGACAGCATTACGTAGGCAGACAATGATCTCGACCCTGGCCCAAGAAATCGGGGCATGCATCAAATGACCGGATCATTAATTATCACTCAGTCTTGGCGATATTGTGGCAGAGATATTCTGTGAACTCTATTGGCGATGTTATCATATCCCGGAATTTTTCACTTACCTACGTGTAGTTGTGAGACTTTTCGTTGATCTTAAGTGATGACCATTTTTTTAGGTGGGGGGGATAAGGAGATCTAGACGTGTGTCGTCGGTCGAAAAAGGATCTGTGGAGGCGCTTCTCTCAGAGATAAGTGGTAATTTGAAGTCAAAAAGAGCGCTATGATTGACCGAAGGCAGAAACCGGGCTAGCGCTAAACCTGGGTATGAAAATTTAACTCAAAGTATTGAAACTGTTACCCGACTGATATATCTGTGAGAGGTTCGATCTGTACTATTCATAGTTTCCATGGACTCTTATTGTAAGGGTACATGTAGGTTAACGTCCTTTTCGAGACATTGTCCTAGTATTCTAGCCAACACATCAACCAACGACCAAAATTCTTCGGCTTAACGGGTTATAATAGGCTTTAGGATTTAAAGTATTCTCGAGCGCAGAACAGATGTGGTGAAGAAAACTGACTTACATGCCCTGTAACTGAATTAACGACATCATGCGTAAACATCCAACTATAGGTTGATCCAATACTTTGAGTATATAGCTATCTCTGTGCGTGTTGATGACAAAGGTATGAATATTGCCAGAAGTCAATACGGGTCGTTCGACAAATAAGCTTAGGTATATATATGTATGTTATTTTCTATTTAGCGTTTAGGATCACCCTGGATCATCGATTGCAGGCTATTAGATATTCATAACGATACAGAACGGCAGTTCTGAACCATGATGTTACTCATCAGCTAGATACATAATCCCTCTTCCTCTGCGATATCAGCGTAAGCGCCCCCTCTATCTTAAGTCTCAATCAGATTCGAAATAAACTATATGCTATACACGGCAAAATAAGTAATCAGTAACTGTCGTGCTACTAGCTAACTCTTGAGATATTGGGAAAATAGGGCTGGATTACCAAATCCGGGTTGACGAAAAGTCATGGACCATCCATTGCTCGAGTTCTCCACCTAAGCTACCGGTAAACTCGTCTATAATCCAGGACCAACACTGGAACTGTCAAAATATCAACATATCCCCTCGGCGAGCGGCATTAACCCCAATGTTTTAGTTAATACCGCCCCGCTCAAGGATATATTGAGCATTTCAAGAGTTCCAGTGTTGCTGCTGGACTTTAGACAAGCTCACTGGATGGGTGGGAATTTCACCTCTTGCGTGGTCGTGTACAGTGAAGGCCCCGAACATCTCGCGTCTGCCGAACTTAAGACCCTACAGTCCATAGTTCAAGTTCCCTGGATACGTTCTCTGGTTAAGATGGAGAAAATCTGGCGGCTCCACTTGCCTTAGAAGGCTTAGTGAACTCGCCAGTAAAGGGGTCTCCAATACAATATTTTATGGACATCGCGCACATCTATGAGCTAGGTTGATAGCCTCTTAAACATTTCCGGGATATTTTTCTTTCCCAGGCTTGTCTATTTGAACTTCTAACGCTGTATCAGCTATGTGCATAATTCCTCAGTTGTCCAGGTGCTTTGAGCACTTACTATTTGTTCTATTCTTATTCCCGGTACAAGATGCCGAAGGGGAGGGTGCGCCGAAGAAAATCCCCTTGGCCAAGGGAAAAAATATCACACTTTCAGAAACGAACACTGAGCTCGGAGATCTGTTTGTTTTACTTTTATCGACCCTTTATTGTCATTAGGGTCAAGCTCTAGGTCTCCCATTGTGATCCAGGGAGGAGGGGATATACGTACCGCCAGGATGTTGTTCGTAGAGTCTGTTATCAATGACGTGGAATATATATACGACACATATACTCAGGAGTTGTCTCTAGATGATCGAATATATACTGCGTGTACTCCAAGGCATATAAACAAAACGTATGGAGTGCCTCATGGGATAAAATTCCGCAAAATGGCCAAGATAAATAGTTGTCGCAGTGATGAGTTCCCCAGCTGAAAGGGGGGAATCATACTGTCCAATATGCACCTCATACTTTTTAATGAAGAGTTGTATTTGTGCGAGAAACTCTAACATAATACAGGTGTTATTCGCTGCAGTCGTCAACACCTTCAATTGGCAAGTTCCGATAACAAGCAGAATGCCTGCTATCGTATATCTAGGAAATCGAGATCAAGATTCAATATCTGTGAAGATTTCTTTCGCAACAAGGAGGAAAGATTCGTGTGAACTGGCTAGTTCATGGCGGCTTTGCGCGGTGATAGTCTGTGGGAGGTTGAGACAGCCAGGGAGCTGGCGAAAAGTGCCAGACAGCACCTGACTGCCCCAACCGTGTGGAGTCGAAATATAGGGAACCAGGGAGAGACTTTGAATAGGACAGAGGTGCGGGGTTTTATAGCATTGGCGTCTATGTGCATACATGTACCTACATGGTACCTTTATCGTGCTTAGGTGTTAGGGTAAATTCGGTAGCGAGGATGACAGCTATGCGTGCACACATGTGCTTAAATGATATGCGGAATGCAGGGGGACGTTGCTTAACCATAAATGAACGACCAGACCAGGATACCCAATTGAATGTATTCGGTGGCGATCTCGAGGACACCTTAGTAGTATATACATGTACTTTGTTCAACTGCTGTATACTATAAAAATTAAGGAGTATGGGAAATACTGCACTTGCAGATATTGGATCGACTGCATGTAGGTATTGGATTCGTAAATTCAAAGGTGACCGGCTTGTACCCGCTACTCCCCGAACATGAATCACATATAATCACTCGCACCACGAGATACATGTGACAACATGTACAAGTAGTCAGCTACAATTGATTGGTGACGGATTGACCTTTATGATATGAAAAAGATATCTACAAAGATATATTTACCACTAAATACAGTCAATTCCCTTAAATCCCGCAAGCGGTACCCTCGTGCTCTTGGGATTTGAAAGAAATCTTCTCCCGGGACTTGTAGTAAAGTATGTTGAGATAAGAAAAAACAACTTTTGATACGGAAGTAAATGAAATATTTATAGAAAAAGAAAAAGCCCATCCAAATAATCGTACACTACATAGGTATGCTGAAGGATATTGTGGTATAAATTAAGGAAACTCCATCTACCTACTGAATTACGAAGCTGCCAACAACATCCCTAACATCCCTTTGGTTTGACAGGCCATTTTTGAGTTTTCTACCTCGCTGCTCACACGATCATGCAGCTTCTTTATCAATCCGTCGAACTCGGGAGATTGGCCAAGGGCATGGGAATACATGTCTACAGTCATTAGTCGCTTTCGAGGTTCTCCTTTGGGGAGACACTTACCAAGAATCAACAACGCAACGTCGACAATGACCTCCACATATCGCGGATCAGTGATATATTTGACCAGCCATTTTAGGACTGGTTGTAAGCTTATCTCATCCCTATTTGCCAGTGCAGTCCTTGTCGCATTCCGATAACGTAGTTCATTGAGCAATGTAAAGGTTGTTAACGGAAGTGTATCTGGTACCAAAACTGCGTCTAGCGCGTCTGCATATCTCCCCTTCCTTAAAGTCTTCTCCCAAGATCTCTCTTTCTTGCCCCTATCGCCTAACTCGGCAACGATGTCTGTCCCTTCTCCCTTGTAGTCCATTCCTTTGAGTCTTCGCTTGAGAGCACTGCTCTTCTCCTTCTTTCCTCCTCTTCCGGTAATTGGGTCTATTCCGGCGGCGATCATGTCAAATATTTTGTCCTGGTCCGTAACCTTTGCTTTGTCCTTGCCGCTGCTACGAGTTCTGATAGAGAGCAATCCACCGACCATACCAACAGCAAGATGTTTTTCATCGGGTGATACGCCCACTGAGAGAACAGGTGCGGGGTACTTGATTCCGTGGACCACCTTCCAGGATGTAGGATCATAGATCTTCACGTGTCCATCGAGACCAGCGGTAAGGACCCGGCGTCCAGCAGACGATGACGAGACAGCCATCGAAGTTACGGTCTTCTGGTGATTCTGGAGAACTGTGAGTGGCTTTGCGGCGACGATATCCCAGACTTGGACAATAGGGCCCGAGCCAACGAGAACTGTAGTCGCACCCGGCATTGGGAGAAGCGCATCGATCGCCGAAGGGTGAGAGAGAGTCATGACGCTTCCAGATGCCTGTCGCGGATCCCACAAGCGTGCGGTACCATCGTAAGACCCGGACACGATGAGTGGGGTACTGTTAGTGGGAAGAAAGGCAGCGCTGCGCACATAATCGCTGTGGCCGAGGAACGTGCTGGTTGACTTTCCAGATGGGAGATCCCAAAGCCGCACAGTGGTGTCATCGGACGCAGACAAAAGAGTGGTCAGATTGCTAGGCGAAAACTTTGTTACCTGAACGGGTTGTTTGTGCTCACTCCATGTTTTGAGAATAGCCCTCGAAGAAAGATTGAAAACTTGAATCAGCCCAGTCGCGTCTCCGGCGACAAGAATCTTTCCGTCAAATCGAACATTCCCAGAGTATGCGACGTCTTTAAACCGCGAGATTGTCTTTGATACAGATCTGGTCTTGGAGGAGAATAACTTTACTAATGTTGAGGAAGTAATGGCAAAATCGTGCGGCGCAAGTGGTGAGAAGTGAATTGATGAAACGGAGGCATGTTCATGAATTAGTAGTGGAGACTTGAAGGAAAGCCAGTACCGCTGTTCGGGGGTGGTGGAGGCGGGGAGCGCTGGGAGTTTTGTAGGTTGGATTCGGACGACAGGAGTAGCCATTACGAGCTATAGAAGAGACAGCAAAAGCTATATTAGGGTGGGTGGAAGGCTTAAGTATCAAAGATTGTGTGGGGTTATCTTTTGGTCGATTGGTGCTATGGGAGAATAATGGTTGTGGGATGAAGAATCTGTGTACTGTGTCAATGCACCCAGAGGTTGGATAAATTTTATGATTGAGGCTCCGATCTTCTCGATCTTATCGATCTTATCAGTAAGGTAGGGTTGATTGTTAATAATTCTTAGTTGCGCTTGCGTTACCAGCCGCTGTCATTATCATAAGAGGGTGTTTATGACTGCGCGCCTGCGCACACTACGCACAAGCGTAACGGTGTTACATGTATTAACCCTTCACCTCCCCATCTAACGGGTTCACCCATCTCCTCTCTTTCATAGTGCATAAAACAGCCAATACCTGAGGAATACAAACAACAATACCAGCATTTACACCCATCATCGTTGTCAGCAATGCCGGAGCCTAGGGAGTGTCAGGATCAAGAATTCCCACGATTGTCATTCTCCGAGTGAGTACTAGCTAACCAGAAAATATCAATGGGAAGCCATTGGTGATCATCGTGTGATAGTATTTGCTAACATATTTGCTATTTTCAAGAAATTTGTTCGAGATATTTTAAAAACCAACATTATCCAGATCTCTGGCACGCGATCATAGGTTTATCGGCGTCATGTACCGCAGAGTTCCGCTGGAACAGACCGGTCTTGAAGGTTGCAGACATGGTTAGGCTAGATTGGTGTTTTTCAGTGTGGCTTACGCCGTAGAACTCGTCGAATAGACTGGTCTGTTCCAGCGGAACTCTGCGGTACTATGAGGAATCGAGGGATCGCTATTCAAAACCTTATCTCAACGGAGCGCAGGGTACGAAACCAGGTCGAAGCAACCCTCCCTCCTCGCTAGAGCTGCTCATATTTGGGTAACAATACCAGTCGATGTTCTTTTTATTTTATTGTGTGAGGCGGGCAGCTTCCCCTGGGTAACAATCTATATGTGCAAAATTTCTTATATAGCGAGAGTTTCCAGAGCGAGTTAGTATTTAAAGCGACACACCTCGAATTATTTTCTACAGATTCAGCGGCTTCGTGGAAAACGCTTCAAACCGAGTCTGAATTTTTACGTCCCTCCACCTATAACGTACTCACTACAGCTCTCTCTGATCCACCTCCATCCAAGTGTCAATCGCGTTCATATCGCATCTTCATGATCAGTAATGTACATATGTGGAAAGACTTCAATACATATCTCAACTATCCACCTGGGCCGGTACTATTAACTCAAGTATGGATATTTTCGTCCTTAGATTCATGAATACATGTGCGCCTTGTATCACCATACATAGCGGACTGTCAAACTCTTCGGTCTCTAGAAGTCGGGTGATCAGCTCACCCGTGTAATCCCACAATGCCCGCACCTGATAGGTCAAAAACGCACCGAAGATCTTCCGAGGTCTAGGTTCTAGAATCATATGTTACATGATCAACAGTGCAAGGAACGCTCAGTATATAATGACGGATAGATAGGTATCCCCTAAGGCTACAGGATCTGTCCCTTGGTCGCTTAAACGCTGTATTGATGGGATCAAAGAATCAGATCAGGGAGTTCGTTGGTTGTTGGCTGTGCAGACGGTCTTAAGCTAGCACCAGATCAACTCAGTTGGAACGGGCCCTTCAGACTACGTAAGGCGACCCCAGAAATGTGGTTGGTGGCGAAGGGTTGATTTCTTTTGCGGATTTCCATAGTCTGCCAATCAGCTATGCTCACAACCAGGCCCGTTCCCTACTACCTTTAGTTGCTGGTCCCAGTGAAGTGGGCGACCGTTTGTTTGTGACAGACGCCGAACGCCCATATGGTTACAGCGTCCCTCAAATCAAGATATAAATCACGGAGAGCGCCAAAAGTGCCCAACAGTCGCTCGAAGGATAATTCGATTACAGACCAAAATACAGCCATATATATACACATATGTCATTTGGGTTTTCAGTCGGTGATATAATTTCGGTAGGGCAGCTCGCGGCGCAACTTTACAACTGTCTCGCCGGAGACGTTGACGAAGAGTGCAAAAAACTTAGCAACTCACTCATGTCCCTTCAACGATCAATCAGGATAGCGTCGGAAGTTTTCTCGCAACAATCGGATGGAGATGGTACTTTACTTAGCACTACCATAAAGGATGTTCTCTATGAGATCCACATCCTTGATGGAATACTGAATACCTACCTATCGGCTTACAACAAATACTTTGATAGCGCTGGAGTCGACAAAAATGATCGCAAAATCAAGGATAAGTGGAGGATCATCAAGTGGGGCTTGAGTAATGAGGGTTCTGCGAGAGAACTTGGGTCAAATCTGCTTTTCCACATCAACGCCTTCCAGTCATACATGATGGAAGTGATATTGTGAGTGAACCTTTTCGTAGATCCGCATCTTTGGTATCATCAGGCAGTTCTGAATGTCGTGTACTAATTTCTCGCAGCCAGGTTGTCTTTCAAACGGACAAGCACGTACAGGAAGGTGTTGCGAAAGTTAAAGATGTTAAAGATTCAGTCATGAAAGGTTTCAAAGGGGTTGACTCCGAGTTTAAGGCGATGAAGAAGAGATTGGACGAGGCGGATAGTCGCTTTTCACAACTTATGAGCTTGATTTCCTGTAGTTCCTGGGCGAACACCAAACATCTGGGAGAATTGCAGTATGGATCTTGTTATGGTTAGATGGGTACATATTAAATCACTCCCACTTTTTTTTTTTTTTTTTTTTTTTTAAATCATAGTTTCATTGACTTCTGGGTACAAGAATATCGCATGTAGCTGACGCTATGGCGTTATAAATCACTCCCAATAAGACTCGGGCGCTTATATTTGAGTCTCTTTGAGGCTTAGCGTACGGGTAGTGGGAATCCTCTCATTTCCCTTGGATACAGTACCGGTACTGTATGTTTGTACTCTCTATCCAACCTCTCTAGTTCTTTTTTTTTCGTGATTTTTGGTGATATCTTTCAGGCAAAGTTTTCATGTTTTTTCATACGGGATGAGTCAATATATTTATACAGTCGAGGCTATTGGGGAATCAATCTCAATGAGTAAATGTTCCGCATGGTTAGGAAGTCTCAATTCAAAGAAACGGTTTGTGACTCAGGTATTCCATAGATTCATAGTTCAGATGTTCACAACCCTATATAATCAATAACATTACAGCAGATTTCATAGTACTAGGCTCGACTAACTTTCACACCCATATAGAGCGATTAATTCTTCAAACCTTAAAATGATAGCCTGCTTAGGAAATCTGAGTTTATTTTCAAGTGATTGCCCGAAAAGGTAATTTCAATTGCCCGGATAGGCTATCTTTTGAGAATCATACTGTGAGTGAGAAAGTCGCCTAGGCCTAGTATTATGAAACCTGCTGTAATCTAGTGTCACGGAATGCATCTAAGGTAAGAATACAAAGTAGAAACCACATAAATAGGGAATCTTACCGATGGGACAAGAAAATCATCCGTGAAAGCCTCGATAATAAGGATTGAAGGTGAAGAAGTAATGCGCGTAAGCTTGCTTGATTGGAATAGAATCACCTTCTCCTCATTATCTTGAGTAGTTGAAGGATAGAATAATCTGTGTAATAATCAGAAGACAGTACCTCCAGACCTAGACTGGCTCCCTTTACCAAAACATCTATGAATCTATACTATGGCGCCATGGCTCGGATCTTTATCTAAATCAATCTTCAACAATCTTCAAACTCCAAATATCTTGAATATGGGACTAGCTCCAATGATAGACTTAATTTATATCTACCGACTGCCTACCAGATAAAAACTAAAGAATTCAAACCTGCTACACCTTCGGCCACCCTCTAACCACCTGAAAAGTAAGACCGAAATGGATCGTAAAACACAGAAGACCTCCTATTTCAACCCAAAGAAAAACAAGGAAAGTAATCAAGACATGAACAAACATTAAGGTACCGGATATTTGGCATGCCAAAGGCGAGCTCCCCGCACATCCTGTGTGTATCGACCCGAGTAAATGAAGATCACGATAACCCACTCAAACTCGGCGAACGGAAATAAGATACATGTATCTCCCTCCAGCGCTAGCCAAATACGTAAAGTGAATCTTTAAATAGATAAAAGCGAATAGAAACAAACAAATGAAGAGAAAGAAAGAAAGTGTTTATAATGAGCGACGTTGAAGGGGATTAGTAGCGTGCACAAAGCCAAAAAGGCAAACCTTTCCTTTCTGTAGACTGCAAGAATCCTCATTCCTATCGAGGAGAGGGTCGGGGGGGGACACGAAAATGACAAAGAAAAGGGTGTAAGATTAGAGATATGGGAAGGGGGAGGGGGCGAATGGGGATTTAAGTACTTTGTGAAGACTTACTCTATGTTTGATCCAGCGTTTCTCGACAAAAGCCCACATACCTTTTTTAAACTTCCCAACAGATTACCTTCGAAATATTTGCGTACCACAAACTCTTGAGACATGAATCCAACCAGCCCATAGATCAGATCAGTCTTCTCCTAGGATAGGTATAGCACGCCTCAACTCCAAGATTTACAGTGAAAAACTTGCACAACGTGCAACTATATCACCACAACCCTGGTGTTGAGCCATGAGATAAATAATCCCAAAAGACCAACTATAGCAGGCGACAAACACTCCTCACAGAAAAACAACAAACAAAAAGAACGCCCTATTCCCAAAACACAGGAACATCCCACAACACCCCCAGAACTTTTAGACACCCCAATAATGCCCCCAAGAAACCCGCTGAGCCAGATTTGATGGAGGGTTTACGAGAATTACTCCCGTCCTAGTTGTGTTGCCGGCTAGACGGAATGCGGGGCGTATGCAGAGAAAACAGGGAAAAACACAATGACGTACACGAAAATAGCGAAAAATTGTGAAGGCGGAACAGTATACGAGCCGGATATGAGAACGGAAAGTGTCTTACAAAGCGCGGACGCGTTTAGCTGCTGCGAAAATTGTTAGCGCCTGATATAGAATCTAACTTATTACGCAAAGTGCCACAAACCTTGATTTTCATCATCACTCCCGTAACCAGGTGATACTGATTCGTCCTCGCGCATTCTCTTTTGATCACCGGGTGATTTCACGAGCTGAGAAGATTTGTCTCCTAATTTTTCTTGCACAAGCTCTGCTTCATCCTCATAATCGATTAGTTGTTCCTCTTCAACCTCTTTGATAGTTGTTGTGGTCTTGTCCAAAAGTTTAACGACATAATTTGGCGATTGTGAGCTCTCCTTTACGGGGACACCAAATTCATTATCTGCAGCCGTCTCGATGTCGTTGACGTTTCCAAACTCGGCTTGCTCATAAGCAGCCAAATCTTCGCCATAGCTTTCTTCAGGATATTCGATGGGATATCCGTTCGCATCGTGAGCTGAGTATTCTGCTTCACCCTCATAGCCATCGTATGTACCATCGCCCACGTACGTTTCGTGTGGCCCGGCGTTATCCGAAATTCCGTTCCCTTCTTCGTCTAGATAGCCGTTCTGTTCATCTGTGGGGTAATTGGCAGCATACTCAAAACCTTCTTGGTACTCTGTATCGTTTTCATTTCCAATTTCACCGTTTTCTTCATCAAATTCTCCCTCTTCCAATTCGAACAATTCTTGATTATCGTACTCGTATCCGTCGTATTCGGTTTGGTGTTGATCCTCAACATACTCATACTGACCTTCAGCGCCATCATCTCCCTGGAATACAGGAATTGAAGATGGGATCTTAGTAGCGTTGGGGGTGTCCTGGATCTCCTGAGCATTGTCCCCCTTGACTTCAGATAAATCCTTCACGTGATCTGTCTGATGATCCGATTCATTGCTAACTGAATGAGCAGGAGGGGATTCTACTTTTGGGTCTTCTATAGTTGGATTATCGTAAGTAAGACGACCAAACCGATTGAAGCCGGGATTGCATTGTTGAAAACGCCCGCCGATGGAAAGGGAAGGCGTCAAAGAATAAAAGGAATTGTACATACCATGAACGTGTGGAGAGCCAGGTTCGAGAGGGGATTTATGTTCTGCTGAAGAGTGAGGAGAGTCATGGGAGGTTGTTTGACCCGGAGGAGAATAATGAGATGATGTTTGAGGGGATCCTTGGCCCGAGGAAGTGTGATGGGACAGTTCTTTGGGCTCAACAGCTTGATGCTCAAAATCAACTGTAGCCTTTTCAGCAGTTTCATTGTCTTCCTCGTATTCGATCAACTCCTCGTCATCTTTCTCGGGACTATTCTGATCAGAAGGAGTATCTTGAATCTCTTCGGGTTGTTGAGCCTCTTGTGAAGGCTCGCCTGAAATTTCCTCTATGATTACCTCAGTCCCACTTTCGATTTGTACCAAGACTGGGGTATCTTTGAAATCCTTATCAGTCGGCATACCGGCAGGCTTTGGAGGCTCGGAAGTTAAAGAAGACCCGGATAGGGACCTAATATCATCAACTTTCGGATCCACTTCATCTGCCCCATTATGATCTTTTTCGGCCTGCTCTGTTTCAGCCTGCTCTTTTTCGGCCTGCTCTTTTTCGGCCTGCGCTTTTTCAGCCTGCGCGTTTTCAGCCTGCTCGTTTTCAGCCTCCTCTTTCTCTTCATTGCCGTATTCGAGGTCAAAATCATCATCGTCATCAATTTCTTCCATTTTCTTCATATCTGTGGAGGGATCGGCCTTTGATTCATTTACCTTCGTAAGCTCTTCCTCGGTATCTTTTTGAATGAGCGGCGCGACTAGATTTGAGTAAACCTCTTGCGGAGCCTTCGGTTCGGGCGCCAAACTCTCTTCGTCTTCCTCAAGAAGTCGGTCATCGTCACTATTATGGTACTCTACCTCTTGGTTCTCTTCCTGTTCGGGCTGAGCGTTTTCTTCTTCAGCTATATTATGGTCGTCTCCGGATTTCATGTAGCTATCCTCAATGTCCTCAATAGTGGACTCGATGACACCGACAGCCTGAGAAAACCCAATGCCCTGATTCACGGCTGCTGCAAGGGACGCGATACGGTTTACAAGAGTTGGACGAGTAGTCAGATTTATCTGTAGAGGTTCAGGGGTCTCGACACCATCCTGTTGGTGGAGTTGCACGTGGAAACTGAGGATGTCTTGGAGCGAAAGGGCACTGCAAGATTTATTATCCTGTAAAAAAAATTAGCCCAGGTGCTTGTACAAAGAAGAGTGTGTACTTACTTCGCCAATTGTAACTCCATAACCCTCAATCTCCATGACAAACTCTACATCTTTTCCAACTACACCTTCCAGAACATTCCGAAGCTCTTGAAATAACTGATCGATACCCTTCTCGCAAACATCGTGGTCCTGAATCAAGAATTCAAGATCATTTATCGGGCTACCAACGGACCCGTCCTCAGCAATGGGAGGAGGCGGGGGGAATAGACTTAGACGATTTTCACCAAACTGTACAATTATGGGATGAAGGCTATATTGAGCGAATCCAGCAATAGCGGCAGGATCCTCGATGGAGGTATTAATTTCGGCCACAGCATCTTCAACATGACTGCCGACAATAGCATCCTGTTCATCCTCGAATTCTCGTTGGTCCTCTAATAAGTTCGGCTCATGAGCTAGGGTAGTGGATGTATTTTCACTCCAGTTACCATGGTGATGGAAATCATTATCTAATTCAGTCGAATCGTGTCCTTGTACATCTCCTGACTGGTGATCTGGCTCTTTGTATGCCTCTTCTGCGGCTTTAGCGGGAGACTGGGCGCGTGGTGTCTCCTCATCCTTATTAAGTTCTGCTGGCGCCTCGGCATCAGGTTTTGAGGGCTGAGTCTCAGCACTTGTTACTTGTTCTGGAATGTCTACATTATCTGTTGGCACGTCTTCGTAGAGCGAGTGATCCGGAACTGAAGGAAGCTCCTGGGTAGCAAATTGTGTCTCGTGGGGCATAGAGGATTCCTGATGACTGAAAGAAAAAAGTGGAGCATCTGCGTTGTTCTGCACACTGGGGAGTCTAAGGGTGTCCTGAGATGCTTCCGGTAGATCACTACTGCCATGACTGCTAAGGAGGGCTGGTTGCGGAACTGAATATGTGATGTCTTCCTCTTCGTCAATCATAAGATCATCGTTATCGAATGATATACTTGGAGGTTCTGCATTGTCGACGTAGTCGTCTTCCATGGCATTATTCACATCATCGACCTCGATTCCCTCAGGACTAGAATACGAGTCAAGGTCGATATCGAAATCGGTGTCTTTCCGTTCAGTTTCCGAATCTACCATCTCGTCATCCGTGTTGAAGTGGGGCGCCCGGTCCGGCACGGGCTCGGCGAGGTAATGTTCATCTGTCTGCATGGTTGCCCGATGCTGTCTGGGCTCTTGAAAAGAATATGTTGTTTCCGGAGTTTCCGGATTGTCTGAAAGATCAAGAAGATCCGAGAATGGTGTGGAGGGGGCTAACAGAGAAGCGGGAATACTTTGAACTGACAGGCTCATGAATGGTGACCCACTGTTTTGTTGTGAGAGCTGCTACGCAGCTTTTCCTTCGTTAAGGGAAGCCTTTGCAACAAACGCCGGGACGTTGTTACGTGTGCTGCAAGGTTGGGTGTGAATCACGACCGGGTCTCGGACGCTGGTGATGCCAGGGTTGTAAGTTGTAAGCTAAATAGTTAGTAGATCAGAGTCGAAAAGGTGTTACGATGCTAGATGTTGATGAGATTTGTCGCGCGGTGGATGAAGCAGGCGGGCGGGTTATTTTCGAAGTTGATGATATTGTGGCTTTTCTGAAGGGGGTTGAGAGAGGTGGTGGTGGTGGTGGTCGTGGTGGTGGTGATGAGCAAGCCGGGGGAGAGAAGAGGCGGCAGTAGCGTGGCGATTTTGGCTGAACAAAGGGTGTGCGTGTGCGTTTCGCGTATTGTCCGAACGATGGACCAACCCACAGCAAATGGTCGATGAGGATGGACACAGTGTAATTTTAACGTGCCTGATGAAAGATTCTATCAGGCAAACTGGTCATAGGAAGAGAAAAAAAAAGGGAGTGGGCGATGATGGCTTATGACTGAGGGGGCATCTCTACAGTGCTTACCCTGATTTAGGCCAACCACTATTGTCAATAATGTGCATAATTCTACGCGACCGTCACGACGGAAAATCATCCTTGCAAGAAAATTTAATCACACTAATGAAGGGTGAAATTTAATTTCCCCCAACAGTAATTTAAGCTTGAATGCAAGTTGTTCCTCGGGTTATTATGTAGTTACACCACTTTTCCTACAAATAATCTGGTCATAGTTTGTCACTCGTAACTGCATGAATTGCCCTCATCTTCTGTTATAATCAAGGGCCAAGTCAGGTCAATGACCGAAAGCTTAATAGTAGAAACGTAATCGGGGGGCATAAAAGCTCCCTGCAAACCCAATTCTACCAACCCCAGTTTGAGTCACAAAGTATCACTCGTCATTCACATCTCGGCTGGTCATGGTGTAAAATCAACCGTTGCCATGACTTATGATTTAAATACCGCTCTGTGTGAGATAAACTGTGTTTTACCCCACTTTTAAAGCTCGTCCAGTGAGGAAGCTCCACGGGTTGACCAGTTTAAATTTGGAAGGATTGGTTAGTAGGAGAAACCTATCAACACCAGCTAGTGGAAGCTAGGGGTCTTTTTTTTTTAGATAAAAACTTCTAGATAGTCTCGTTTTTTATAGGGTAGAATGAGTCCAACATCGACGTAGCTATATACTATAGCTATGTATATTTATCGATTCTTCATTAATCCCTTTTGTGGGGAATCCATCCATCGTGGTGGCATCGTCTAGGATCCTAATGTCAAAGAGCAAATCTTTAGCTCTCTATTATTTCTTATTTCCTAGACGGACCAGTTTTCTCGCAATGAACACAGTATTGCTACCCCCCTTAAACACTGCCACGATAGTCCTAGGTCATCGATAGCAATGTCTATCTCAAGACATCTCTAAACACAGCAAGAAAGCGGCCTCAAGATTCCTCGGCCTTCTAGTCTAATGGCCCTATGATCTGGTCTCGAATTCCTGGCCCTAACATCAAACTACAACGCAGCGCCTCGTTTGATTTCTGACGTCGACTGCGGTTGACTCCTGGACGTCCATCGGTAGAGAAGTACATCCTGTCACCGGAAATATTTTATCATCACTAACGCCGAAAGGCCTCCTCTCTGATTTTTCTAGGAGGTGTTTCTAGCATGTCACCTACCACGTCCAAAAGATTATTCACTGACGGGATTACAATCTCGAATACCACCGTTTTTTCTTCCTTTGGGAAGGACCAGGAGTGGTAAATGAACATGATGCTACGGTCATCCTTAGAGAACTCCAGGGATCACCACAAGAGACGGTATTTTCCTCAGGCGTGATTACGGCAATACACAAAGCAGGCAACACCATCTCTTCTAATGATTGGTACAGGGCGTACAGCCATTGTCCCTGCACATTAACATCCCTACAGGATTACAAGGTCTCAGCACCACTACTCTGGGTACGGACTCTAGCCTTCCCTGTTCAACCGCTGTAACTATAATCACGCCCGACTGGTGATCGATCTACCCTCGTCATCCTTCAAACACCTTATGTACAAGGAACCGCCCACAATCATATATGCATACAACCCGGTAACCGCATAACTCGCAGCTAAAGCACCAGCTTGGTCGGGGCACACACAACTATCTGGCCATATGCAACCTTTGCCAAAGCCTGTAGGCGTTTAACCACTCCCCATCTAGCTAGTACTACGTACTAGTAATATCTACAGTATGTAGAAAATTGCGGGCTTTGCTGGTGAGAGGGGAGGGGTTTTTGGTAGAGGGTGTGAGACTGTACGTGCACAGCTATTAGGGCCCCGAGTCAAGGATACCATATGTCCCTCAAAGGTGGGATATGGTAGACCTTATATACTTTCTACACAGCTAGTTTGGTATACACACATAGATCACAGGGCATCACTCGCACGCCCAAAAACCCGCGCGGAGTCTTTGACGGTGTGTTACTGCCTGCAAAGGCTATAAACAAGTTTTCCTGGCGGTTTTACTACTCTAATCATTTCCACGACATTTCACTCAAGGCACCACTAAAATAACTTCTAGCTCAGCAATATATATCATTTCTACCAACTATATAGCTATCAACACAACAGCCACCGCACGTCTGATATCCATTAACTACCCCAATGTCATAACTTCGTAACTAAATGTACTTACTTCATCTAAAACAAAAAAGAAAAGCACACAAGCAAAACGGAATTCAACAAATCAACAATCTAACAAAACAAACACCTACGCCCACACCGACTTCCTCAACGAATAGCCCCACTGCTCCAACAACCCCGTACTCCTCTTTGCCTCCGCCAGCCCAATAATATCCTTCTTCACCACGAACTCTCCCTCCTGCTGCTGCTCCTCTGCACCAGGCACACCCTCCTTCTTAACCCTTTCGTTCCGCGCAGCCTCGATTTCCTTGCACACGCCCTCCACGAGCTCGATCTCGCTGTTGTTTGCCGCGCCAGGAAGCACCTTGAACGCCATGAACTTTGGGCGCGAGGTGCCCTTGGGGAACATGCTCTTCATGGAGCGGGTGTTGACCCTCACGATGCTTCCGCCGGCGGACGAGGGCTGGTAGCTTACGATGAAGCCGACGTTTCGTTTCTCGTCTGTTGAGGGGTGGGCGAGGGTTGAGATGATGTATGTTCCTATATCACTATTAGCAAACCCATTTCCACACCCGGGACTTAAGAGGAAGTAGCATACCCCACTGGACACCAACTACGTCCGCAAGCTCCACCCTCTCAAACTCGCTGACCTTCTCAAGGGTGAAGTCGAACCCGCATCGATAGAGCGCCTTGTCCGTGACGAGGACCACAACCTCTCTGAACGGAAAGGTCCTCAGCGTGCCTGACTCCGCGGGCGCCAGCATCGTCCAGCCGCCGCGGAGCACCTCGTTCTCGTCCTCGACAACAATCTTACTCGATACCTCGATCGCGTTCTGGCGGAGCTTATCCATCGAGACGGCCGGATCACCGCTCATGAGCTCCTCCTCGAACTCGTCAAAGACCTTTGCGGTCACGCTACCAAGCAGGAAATCGATGGCCGCCTGCGTGAAGAAGTCGCTGACAATGTTGGTAAAGTACCTAGTGAGCGTGAGACCAAAGTCCGTCAAGGCACCACGGTAGTTCCGCTTCTTGGTGCGCGTGAAGTCGCCCTTGAGGGCGGCCGTCGACGCATACTGCTTTGAGATTGCGTCGCCGTTGTCGGCCCAGAGGCGGTTGAACCACGCTTCGCCCTCGCCGTCGACACGGACGCCGAGGGCAGCCAGATTCTTTTCTAGCGCTGCGCGGGCAGCGGCGCTCTGAACGACGTTAGTGCGGTCGAGACAGTCCATGCAGTTTGTGCGCAGCACGCCCTCCTGGCGGCGCGCAACCTTGCCTCCGGCCGACTCCTCGTGGTAGCCAAAGCCGTCCAGAACCGGGCCGATCTCGTCGAAGAGGTGCTTGACATTCTCGAAGCGCATGCCGCGGCACTCGTGGTGGAAGTCGAACCAGTTGAAGCCGACGCTGCGCTTCTGCTGCTCCGGCAGGTTCTGCATGGCGGCCTGGTACTTATCGCCGATGATAGCCTCGTTGCCGTGCTTCTCGACGAGGCTGACGGCGTGGACCTTGCCGTAGCGGTCGGTGGCGGCCTTGAAGTGCTCTGAGAAGGCGGCGGCGTTGGCGGCCTCGGTGCGCAGCAGGATGGGCTTGGGCTTGAGGGCGTAGGGGCTCTGCTGGAAGTAGAGGGGGATGGACCCGCGGATCTGGAGGTAGGAGAAGACGCGGTTCCACTCGCTGTCGCTGATCAGTTGTTCGGTTTCGACGCTGTTTGCGACGTTGCCGTTGTCGTCGACGCCGCGGCGGAGGTAGCGGAGACCTGCGCGGCGGATTGAGCGGCGCGAGATGAGCGTTAGGAGCAGGTTCTGCTGCGTGGGGACCATGGACTCGAAGGTCGGGGCTTGGTCTTCGGACGGGGGAGGCGTCACGGCGGTGGTCGTGGTCGTGAAGGGGAGCTGCCCGACGAAGCCTTGCATGAGGGGCAGGACGAAGGCGTCCTGGTTTGCGTCGATGAACGGCTTTTGGAGATGGTGGTTCCAGAAGAACTACAGAGGGTTAGAGATAGTTATATCGACTATATGAATGGGGAAAACTCACCAATGGGTCCACAAGCTTCCACAATGGCAAGCTCTCGCTCTTCGAGTGACGCTGTGTGCTCCAACTTCTCGTGATATCCCAGTCATAGCTGAAATAGAAGCTCCTCGACCCTCCCAGCAGCAGCCTCGTCGTATTCAGGAGCTTCGGCGTCAAATTGTGCGCCACATCCTCCTTGACCGCCTCCACGGCCTCCTCCACCTGCTCCTTCTTCTTCACCTCCCCCTTACTATCCGCCGCGCCATCCACCACCCTCTCCTCTTCTTCATCATTCGGCGCCGGCCGATTCTCAGGCTTCGTGATATCCACCCCCTCCTGATCCTCAACCGCATGCCCAACATCAACCTTCTGCGGCGCCGCCGCTGCCACCGCCGCCGGCCTCTCCCCCGGCGACAGCCCCTCAGATTTCCTCCGCTCCTCCGTCCACCCGCGCTTACTGAACCACTTCTCAGCGAAGCGCCCATACAGCCCCTTCCGCCCAATCACATCTTCGCCGACGCTGCTGCTATTGCCGCTGCCCCCGGCCGTGTCGGTGCTCGACCGCCGCGACGCCGCAATGTCGTCCTGCAGCTCCTCTTCCTCGGAGGAGCTGGTGGCGCCGTCGGTGTCGCCCTTTGCGACGCGCGGGCGCGTCCGCGAGATGTAGGCGTCGGCTTCGCGCTGCGAGGACAGCGGGATCAGGGCCACGTCGGTGACGACGTAGATTGGGTGGCGGCCGCGGATCGTGGCGACTTGTTCGCGGGAGGTGATTGCGATCAGGAACGAGGATGTGGGGGAGATGTTGAGTAGTCCTGTTGTTGGGTCAGAATTGGGGCCGAGTGATGGGTAGTGAAGGGGGTGGAAGTTGGTTATATACCTGCGATCCCGTGGGCTTCTAGGCCGTTTGGGGCCACCGCCACCGCCGCCGCCGCCTCGTCTTTTGGTTTGTCTTTGCTGGCCGCGTGGGGGAGGATCTGTTTGCTCTTCCAGTCGATCTTGACGCTCGGTGGGGGTTTGGGGGCGCTGCGTGAGTTCTGGATGGGTGAGAGGATGAGGCCGTCGATGGCGGCCACGATCAGAATCTTGCGGGCGAGGGCGGGCATTGCAGATGCTGCAGCAGCGGTGTTGAGGGCTGCTGCGAAGAGCACTCTCGACGGATACACTGTTTATTTTTTGGGGGGGGTAGAGGGGGGAAGGGGAGGGGGGGGATTGGGGGGGGGGCTGTTTATGTAGATATATACTTTGGTTTGTGATGGGAGCGTGGATGTTTAATTTGGGTCAGGTACGCTGCTCAGCTCAGGGTCGTCGGGTCAGCTGGCTGTAGTACTGGGACGTATGGGATGTGGGATATTGGGTGGGCATGATGAATAGGCGCCCGGGGGGCGCGGGTCTACTGGGTATTTATCTGTGTAGCTAGCTAGAGAAGTAAAATTAAAGCTATCGATCCCGTTTCTTGTGCCTGCTTCCTTGGTTGTGTCGATGTGACGTGAGAGGCTGAGAGCTACATAGAGGGCGAGGAGAGAGGTTGGTGGGTTGGGTGCTGCTAGCTACATGTAGGCAAGGGAAGGGCCTGGGTCGGGGGTTGCTGTGGTGGGGGACATCCTGGCAGTGGGTGGTTGGCTGGGCCGGGAGCACACCGGGCAGTGATGTCGTTGGGTGGAGAGGGAAGAGTGGGCGAGTGGGCGAGTGGGAGTGGGCGTGGGAGAGTCGAGTCGAGTGGCGTTCCCGGTGGAGAGTCGAGGAGAGGCAGGCTGCAAGGCTGGGACGGGGGACAGGGTAATCGAGTGATTTCCCGTGGGGCACAGGGTGTGCATGTAGCTAGCTGTGGATGTGGATGTATTGTATTATTGTGTAGATATCTCGAGATTCAGACATTCAGATTAACTCTGTCCAGACGCATCAGAGACAGAGCTTAATGATGCGCTTATAGGCACTCTATCTATCTCTATCTATCCATCTCTATCTATCTATCTCTATCGTGCTGCATGCCTGAATCTGTCTGGGCTCCCGCGTGCTGCAGCCCTGCAACACACCTCAATGTAGAGGACACGAGGCCGAACACCGAGACAGCCTCAATCACACATCCATCCCTCCGTTCATTCTCACGCTCACTCACTCACAACCACAACCACGACCACCTCTGCTGCCACCACATTACCTATCTACATATCCATCCATCCATTATCTACCTCCTCTAGGTATATCGACTCTATCCATCTCTATCCATCTCTTGGGCATCACACAGGCAATCTCCCAGCAGGCCTGTCTCTACATCACACGAGTCACACACACACTCACGCACACACCACTGATCTGCTTACAGAGCCTCCCCCACGTCAGAATCAGCAGCAGTAGTACTAGAAGAGTAGCAGTCCCCCGTCCTGCCTGCCTGCCGTCACCATGTCAGACCCGTCAGGCACCACCGACCCCACCCAGCAGCTGTCCGCCTCCCAGCGTGAAGCTCTCGAGCAGTTCACAGCAGTCACTGCCCAAGCTCCCCCAGAGGCCATTCCCCTCCTGCAGCGGTCACAATGGAACGTCCAGGTACACACCCGCCCTACCAGGCCCCTCCCTGACCCCCCACTGACAGCTCCCAGATCGCAATCGCAAAGTTCTTTGACGGCGAGACCGCCGACCCCGTCGCCGAAGCTCTCGCCGCTCAGGCAGCAGCCCCGCCCGCCGCCGCACGAACGACATCCAGAACTCTCGCCACACCACCAAATGCCTTGACCCGCAACAGATCGGGCATCACTCCCGCGCCCCGAGTAGTGCCACAGCCCACATCGGTATCGCGGCGGCCGCCGCTCCTCCTGGCACTCTTAATATTCCCGTTCTCGATACTCTGGCGCGTCGGTAACTCGTTCTTTACCCTCTTCTACACGCTCTTCCCCTTCCTGGCGCGCTTCCGGCCCGCCACTCGCACCGCCCGGGCCCGCCGCTCTCAGACACCGCGGGACACCGCCGCCCGCTTCATCCGCCTCTTTGAGGAGGAGTACGGCGCCGACACTGGTCTTCCGTTCTTCGAAGGCGGGTACGCCCAGGCCCTCGAGCTCGCAAAGAAGGAGCTCCGCTTCCTCCTCGTCGTCCTCCAGTCCGACGAGCACGACGACACAACCTCGTTCAACCGCGACACACTCACAAACCCGGAGGTCGTCCGCTTCATCAACGACCACAGGATCATCCTGTGGGCGGGCAGTGTCCAGGACTCGGAGGCCTACCAGGTCTCGACAGCGCTGGCATGCACAAAGTTCCCGTTCGCGGCGCTGATCGCAATGACACCGGCGTCCGGCTCGAACTTCCAGGGAATGTCGGTCGTTACTCGCTGTGCGGGGCCTACGCTCCCGGCGGCGCTCATAACGAAAATGACAACAGCCATCAACACCCACGCTGAGTCCCTCGACCGTCTCCGTGCCCAGCGCGCAGTCCACGAAGCCGACCGCGCAATCCGCGAGCAGCAGAACAGCGCCTACGAAGCCTCGCTCGCCGCCGACCGCGAGCGCGCCCGCGCACGAAAGGAAGCCGCTGAAGCCGCCGCACGGGAAGCCGAGGCCGCGCGCAAAGCCGCCGAGGAAGCAGAGGCACTCGAGCGTAACCGACAGGCGTGGAGGAAATGGCGTGCGTCACTGCTCCCGGAGGAGCCGGAGGCGGGGCCCGAGACGGCGAGGGTGTCGATCCGTATGGGCGATGGCGAGAGGCTCGTGAGACGGTTCAGGGCTGGCGCGGACGTGGAGGAGGTGTATGCGTTTGTGGGCTGTCTGGGTGTGGAGCTTGATGAGAAGGCGGTGGCGCCGCCGGAGGGGTATACGCATGAGTGGGGATTCAGGCTGGTTAGTTTGATGCCGAGACAGGTGCTGGAGGCGGAAGGAAAGGTGCGGGATGGGATGTTGTGGCCGAGTGCGAATCTGGTGGTGGAGAGCTTGGCGGATGATAGTGATGATGAGGAGGAGGAGTAGTAGGTTGGTTGGTTGGTTGGTTGGTGGGGTTATATAAGAATGTAATTGTAGCATAGTCAGTATTTGCTGGAATGTGAAGCTTTTTTTCTTTTGTTGTGAAGCTCTTTCTTTTGTGGTGCGGTTGTTCCTTTTGTTGGTGAGGGTTATAGATGTATTGTGAGGTTTTTTTTATCCTGTGAACGGGGGCGGAGAGGTGTATAGTAGAGTCAAGTGTTTGGCTTTTGGCTTTTAGCTCTAGGGTGCCCATAGTGCTGTAGCTTGTATTGCGGGCTGGATTGTGGTATGGGGTTTTGGCTTCGCCTTCAATGATAGCTTTAACTAGTCTACTCCACTCCGTCTGTGCCGCGTATGAGATTGTATTGCGTGTTCTTGAAGTCGTCCTAGTTTTGGGTTGCGGGTTCGAGGTTGTGGGTGCGGGAGGATGGAATTCAATGGTGTAGGCGGAATGGTGTAGGTGGAGAGTGGCTTGGCAAACGTACCTTTTATGGCGGGCTGATCATTGGCTTTCGGCGGTAGTTTGGTCTGGGATAGTGTGCGGTGGGGTCGAGAGGTGGGAGAGTGGTATCAATTGCACGCCTACATGTAGTTTGTGTGGATTTTAGAGGGTGGTATCGTTGTGCCGGTGATTGTGATGTGGGAGCCGGAAATAGCGGGCAGAGCGGGTGAACCGGGGAGCTGGGGGGAGGTGAGGTGGGTAAGGGTCGATGGCGTTGGAGTGGGTGCGGTGATGGCGTGGGGTGGGGTGGAGGAAGGAGCTGGGAGCTGGGAGCTGGTGTGGGATGTGGTGTGGGGGATTGTAGTCTGTGGATGGTTGGGGGGGGGGGGGGGGGCTCTAAAGAGAGCTATATGTAGCTTTTAAAGTTGGTTTAAGAACCACGAGTCACTTAGGGTCCTATGACTGGCTGCTGAGGTTTTCGTTTTCGTTTCTCTCACCAGCTGCAGAGTTGCGTCGGGAGGGGGTGGGGTTTACGATCACTGGTAGCGGGGTGGATATACGCTACACTAATCAGATCCCAGGGCTACTAACCTAGGGCAGGGGCCGACAGACTCGTGAAGCGGAGAGTTAGAATGCGTCCCTGGGCTGATGCTCAAAGCTTATAATTATAGTATCAAAGCAATAGACTAGCTCCGGCGGTGTAGTGGTTGATATTAGAACCGTGAGGGGGGAGATCGTATAATTAGGTCCGAATCCCAACCAGAGCCGTCATCAGTTCTTCTTCTGATCGCCGGCCCCATGTCTCTCTCTGGTGGCAACACATCCTTTAGCGCTATGCCCGATGTCATCAGACACATTCCGGGCCACAGCTCCGCTCACGCAGACGTTAAGTGCCGAGTGATATCCTGTGACGCGAGCTCGAGATCGGCCCCAGCTCCGTTGCTGTGGCAACGCGCCCCACCAACGGGCCGACGGACGGACGAGCTCTGTCTTGTCCAGGTGTTCACACCGCCGTGGGGTAAAAGCTCTTGAACCTCTTCTCAGCTATTCTTTACTATTCGCAATTCCAACAACACTCACTCTGGCAGGTCTCTAGGCACTCTCAATCCGAATAGCCCAGTCCCACCCCGCACTCCAACCCGCAAATCCTAAGCTCCCCAACACCGCCATGGGCGACGCCGCCGCCTCCTCCCCCGGCACCGAGCCCGGCACCGCAGCCCCCAAGCGCCCCGCCGGCTTCCTGGCCCTCTACCAGAAGGCGCTCCCCTTCCCCGCGCGCCCCGGCCTCGCCGCCTGGAGCCCCACCCTCGACCTCATCGCGCTCGTCACAAGCAACGAGAACGTGCTCCTCTACCGCATGAACGGCCAGCGCGTGTGGGGCTTCGCGCACCGCCGCGGCCGAAGCGGCGGCGCCGAGACACGCATCGAGCGCCTGCAGTGGCGGCCGGACGGTTCGTGTCCTAGCCCAGTGTGTCGGGCGCGGGGTGGAGGTCTGCGGGTGCATGGGCTAATGAGTGTGTGGGTGGTAGGCAAAATGCTGGCGCTGGGCTACAGCGACGGATCCACGCGCATCTACGACGTCAACAACGGCAAGCAGATCCATAGGCTGACGTCGGAGGCGGCGAGCTTCGGGCGGGTGACGTGTGTGGGATGGGTCGATAATTATTCGCAGCGCGCGAGGCCGGGGATGGCGGCGGAGGCCAAGTCGGCGGAGTGTACGCCGCAGGCGCTGTTTGATATGGATGTGGGGCAGATGCTGCCGCGGCTGAGTGTGCTGCCGTCGTCGTCTGGAGCGTAGGGTGTCCCTCTCTTGGTTTTGGTTTTGGTTTTGGTTTTGGTTTGGCTTGGGTTTGGGTTTTGTTTTGGTTTGAGGTTAGGTTTTGGGTTTGGGGCAGAATGGCTGATGAGGGGGGAGTTACAGAGATAGCACGTTTACGTCGAAGGTTACGCTGGATGCGTTGATCAATTCGGTTACGAAGAGTGGGGAGGGCGATAATCTGGATGTGCTGCTGATTGGGGAGGAGGGCGGGAAGATTCTTTTGAAGTGGGTTGATTCTTTTGCTGAACTTGATTCTTCTTGTGAAGCTTGACATTGGTGGCTAACTATCTAATAGTGTATTTGATTCATTCTTAATAGGAACTATGGAGCTCTCATCCCTATCCCACCAGCTTAAACCTCACTCGAAGGTACACAATTCCCTCGCAATGTTAATCCAGATGCTAACTATCAGCTATATAGCTGCTGCGTCACACAGCTTCCTCAGACCTGTCCACCCACTCGCTGTTAATACTCGAACCCCAGACCAATAACATACTCTTCGCAACCATGGATATCCTCTTCATCCAACAGTTCGGCCAATATCTGTTTCAGCTAGCGTCAACATCGACCAGGGTCCAAGCGCTCCTCCGCTATATCCAGGAGGCCGTAGTCGCACTCGAGACCGAGTTCAAAACCATGAACGACCTAGCCCAGCGGTACGTCAGCATCATCGACGAAGACGTGCGCAAGCAGGGGAGCGAAGTCTCTCTCGAATTCTTCGAGCTCCTCGTGACCGGCGTCCCGAGCGAAGTGTTGCGCGAATGGCTGGTCGACGTCTTGACAGAAAGGGTAAGGCGGCACGTGCCCCGGAAATGATCGGAAATCCCACTAATCTTCCCACAGGGCCAAAAACGGTGGGAAAAGAGCTCGATGAACGGCTACGAGACGCTGCGAAGGCTTGTCCACGAGAACCTGCTTCCGACATGTGAGCGGCTGACGGTGCTCTTCTGCCGCCTGCGGGGATTGGCCAGATGGTGGGTGTTTCGGCTCTAGGTTCAATCCTTGACAGCTAACCATGAGGCCGTCTAGGAAGGAAAGAGGCAGTCCCCTGGGACTCGACCCGGACGATTTCACCCGCTGCCTGGACGTTGTCTCGGGCCTCACGGTGTTCGCGCACGAGTTCCTCCTGAAGCTCAACAAGGAGCTCGAGCACTTCGCCGCCTTCGGCTCCTGGCTGCGGCACACGCTCGACGAGCTCTCCACGGTGATCAACATCGACGACAAGCCGGCCGAGGACCCGCAGATCGACACGCTGCGCGTGTCCGAGTACATCAGCTGCTACCTCAAGCAGTCGTCGCTGGCGGCGTTCTTCCGGCGCGAGGGCTTCCTGCGCCTCAGCGAGTACAAGAAGAAGGGCGAGAGCGTGTTTGAGCTGTATGCGAAGAGCGCCGACAAGGAGCCCGTGCCGCCGGGCTTCATGGAGCTGGCGGCATACCTGGAGGAGCTGTGCAAGACGGTGTTTGCGAAGCCGCAGATGGCGATGAGGCAGCAGTTGAGGGTCGGCAAGCCGGTGGCGGTGGCGGAGAGGGAGGTGGGCAGGATGGATGTGAGGATGGTGGTGGAGGGGGGGGCGCCGGTGGCTTATGTTGCGTTGTGCGACGTTGAGAAGAAGGCGAATAGTCGTGAGTGTAACCTCTCTGCTGGGTTTCTTGGGCTTCGATTGCCCTTCTTGAGCTTTGATAATAATGGTTGCCCTTCTTGAGTTTTGATAATAACGGTTTTCCTTTTTAGTTATCCTTATCCGGTGCCAGATCTCTGTCGACGGATCCCTGAGTACGGTTTCAAAGATTGGTTGCGCCAAAGTCCTCTTCCCAGACCCTGAGTCCACGTTGGTTGATCTTCATTTCGTTGATTCAAGCACAATAATCTTGATTCTTGCTGATAAAAGTAATTATATCCCCCTTAATTTTTCAACGTTCCGTTATTTCTATTTGTTGGCTGACGGTTTTTTTAATTCTAGCTGGTCGTAATTCCGAGATGGTGTCGATCGCATATGATATCATAACCTATGATGAGAACTACGATCACGAAGATCTGGCCGAAAGCGTGTTCTCGTATGCAGAGGCGCTGCAAGGGGAAGAGATGGCCGTTGTCACTAGACGCCAGTTTGATTCCTCGTTCATACCGGTGCAGCTCACCATTAATGGGAACAAGGGCAGGCGAGTTGGGTGCGTGATAGCGGAAGACAGGATGAGATACATCGTGTTTGATCTAGACGGTCAAGAGGAAGACGATGAAGAGGAGGAAGAGGGGGAAGAGGGGGAAATGACAGTTGAGGAGGAGGAGGAGGGGGAGGGGAAAAACTGATGATGAATGACGACATTGATATTGAAACGAAACGCTTGATGGGTTAGATCTGGGGGGGGGGGGGGGGGGGGCTTATGGGTGTTACAAAAATACCCACTGGGAAAGACTTTGGGCGGCGTTCTTATTTGGAGCAAAAAGTAAACAACCGGGAAAAGTGGGACGTTAAAGATAATGCATGCATAGACTCTTTAGTCAGGGACCCCTGCCTGCAGCATACTGTGCCTTTGTTTTGTTGGGTTTTCTGAGCAGTTAAATCCCAATTAACCTACATAGACATTGCAGTTCATACAGACTGTCGGATAACCGCATTTATTTACTCATTGCCGACAATTTAATCTTTAATTGCATGTATGCAGAGATTCATAAGGTTGCTTGGGGCAGCTCTGTGGCTCCACCGAAATTGCTGGTCATATATCTCGTTGAATGACTCTCTGTATGTATGCCAGGACAAGCATAAAATATATAGAGTAGACTGCAATAATACGAGTCATTGTCGAATGCAGCCCATAATCCTACCCGTGATTTTAGCATTTTATGAGTATGTAGGATTGTTTGGGTGTGCCTCAGTTATTTACCTGTAGCTGGATTGGAAAGAAGTTCGGTGACGAGACGGGAGAGGAGCGAGCAGATAACTACGTGTGTCGCCACGAAGCAATAAGTATCGTTGCATACAGCCCAGGTACGTTGACGATGCAGGAAAGTCCATGCCCTCACGATCTGTCCTTTCCATAGTTCACATGATACAGTGGCTTTTCCTTCGCCATGGATGGTGGATGTAGAGGTGAGGAGATACCTACATACATCCTTAAACCTCTCTGTATGCAACTGATCTGTACCTATTGCTCTAGTGTAGGTACCTGTAAATAGGTGACAGCGGTCAGTAGAGGTCTACCATCTGCTTTGTCTCTTTTCTTCTTCACGAAGAAGAGGTCGTTGAATAGTTCTCTCAGCTTCTCCAGTTTTCGCGGATGACTCATCTAAGAGCGGGGTTATCATTGGCTGGCTGGTTGCTTTGTGCCCCCCCTCTAGCCCCATGGAGAGCTTCAGAGGGGTTGAACCATCCCTGTGGGGCATAGATAATGCCTCTTGGAATTCCGTCAAAAAGAGCCCCTCCTTCCTCACAGTTCGAAACAAAAATCCAATCCCTCCCACCATTTTCCCTGCCTTATTCCCACGCCAACCAGTGAGGAGAAATATCCACACACAAACTCAGCTTGTTTAGTAGAGGATCAAAACAATAGAAACTAAGAGAAGGGGGGGAAAAAAAACAAGACCCCCAAACAAAACAGAAAAAAAGAGAGGTTCGTTGCTGCCTCCCAAGCACGTTCCCCACCTTGATATTGCGGTAGCCTCCCCCACCTCCCCCCCCTCTTTTTACACCTGAAAGGAAAGAAAAAGAGTCCCCCTGATTACAACTCTCTATTTTCTCCCTTTTTTCTCCGGTAAATCAGGAATCACAATCTCTTGTTGTATTCAACGCTGTGTAACGTCGCAATTACTCCCCCTAAGGCAGAGTTGTTGTGGCCCGCGTCAAACCTTTGACACTGAACTTTTCCACAGGAGACAGCCTCGTGCTTCTTTCAGTAGACTCCACGACCGCCTCCACCTCTTTCCTCTCCCACTTGTTTCTACCCACAACCATCATCATCCACAAATTCCATCATCACAACCGATTCCCCGACGCCTTGAGTCTTTAATTTTCAACGTCGTCGATTTAAACTACATATCTCATCGCCATCTCATTCTCATCGCAAAACCACCACAACCGCAACCATGAACGTCTCTGAGGTGTTGGCAAATACCTTATCTGCCGGTGAGTTGTCTATCCCCCAACCCCAATTTCTGCTCCGGAAATTGATGTTCATTTTTCTCTAGATAATGCTATCCGTAACGCTGCTGAGGAGCAGCTTTCGACCGCTGCCGCCCAACACTTTGTACGTTGCCCCCCCCCCCCCCCCCCCCCTCTCCACCCAACACACCCCTCCCTCGTTTGGGTATCCGATTTCCCTGGCTTGAAGAGGCGGGAAACTGACTTTTTGTGGTTTTATGTAGCCCGAGTATCTGCAAATGCTCTCGGCGGAACTCGCAAATGAAGAGACATCTCCCTTTATCCGTAGTGCTGCTGGTATCGCTCTGAAGAACGCCCTCACTGCCAAAGAGCGAACACGTTTGCTAGAGGTACAGCAGAAATGGCTCACCCAGGTCGACCCAACCATCAAGACCCAAGTCCGGGATAACTCTCTTCGAACACTAGCCTCGACCGACAACCGTGCGGGGCAATCGGCCGCGCAGTTCATTGCGGCCATCGCGGCCATCGAACTCCCCCGAAATCAGTGGCCGGACTTGATGCCTGCACTGGTACGAAATGTCGGCGAAGGATCCGACAGCCTTAAGCAGTCATCCTTGACCACCATTGGTTATATCTGTGAATCAGAGGAGCAGGAACTCCGGGATAGTCTGAACCAGCACTCTAATGCAATCCTCACTGCTGTCGTGCAGGGTGCCCGGAAGGAGGAGCCTAACGCCGACGTAAGATATGCGGCCATGGTTGCGTTGGGTGATTCACTGGAGTTTGTTCGAACCAACTTTGAGAATGATGGTGAGAGGAACTATATCATGCAGGTCATCTGTGAGGCCACACAGAGCACCGACTACAGGATTACTCAGGCAGCATTTGGGTGCCTGAACAGGATAATGAACCTTTACTACGACAAGATGAAGTTCTACATGGAGAAGGCCCTGTTTGGATTGACAATTGTGGGGATGAAGCACGAGGAGGAGGAGGTCTCCAAATTGGCCATTGAATTTTGGTGCACGGTTTGTGAGGAAGAGTCCGCTGTTGAAGATGACAATGAACAGGTAAATCCAACCCCAGCTGTTGAATCGGACTTTAGACGCTAACAGTATACAGTTCCAAGCAGAAGGAATGACTGAGCTTCGGCCATTCTTTAATTTTGCGCGTATTGCCACTCCAGAGGTCGTCCCAGTATTATTGGAGCTCCTCACAAAGCAGGACGAAGATGCCGCGGACGATGAGTACAATGTCTCCCGCGCAGCATACCAGTGCCTGCAGCTTTACTCCGCGCGTGTCCAAGGTCTAGTGATCGGCCATGTTTTGCAATTTGTAGAGGCCAACTTGCGCCACGAAAACTGGAGGTTAAGAGATGCTGCTGTTTCGGCATTTGGTGCAATCATGGAAGGACCAGAGTTCAAGCAACTTGACCCCCTGGTCAAGCAGGCTCTGCCTGTACTTGTGGGAATGATGGACGATAAAAACTTAATGGTAAAAGACTCTGCAGCCTATGCTCTTGGAAGGATTTGCGAATGTTGTGGGCAATCTATCGACCCTCAACTCCATCTGCCAAGTTTGATCCAGGCATTATTCTCCGGCCTGAAGGATAGTCCAAAAATGGCTAGCTCTTGCTGCTGGGCTTTGATGAACTTGGCGGACAGATTCGGCATTGAAAGCGAGTCTGAGGAAAATTCGTTGTCAAAATACTTCAAGGACAGTGTTAGTGCCCTGTTGGCCGCAACTGAAAGGTACAACCAGATTCCCATTCTGAATTTTGGGAGACTGAGGCTAAACAAATATTTATTTATAGGTCCGACGCTGATAACCAGCTCAGAACGGCTTGCTACGAAGTCCTCAACTCCTTTGTTGCCAACGTTGGACAGGATGAGCTGCCGTCTATTGCTCAATTGTGCACTGTAATCATGGAGAGACTAGAGAAGACTGTTACTTTGAGAGGCCAAATTGTTAGCACGGATGACCGTATCACTTTGGAGGAGATGCAGACTAGTTTGGCTGTTGTATTGATGGTATGGGTTCCAGCGTTTTTGATAGCTTTTAGCATCCCCAAATTAACTTGTGGCACAGACCATCATTCAACGCTTGGACAAAGAGATCAAGCCCCAGGCCGATAGCATCATGCAGATCCTTTTGGGGATCCTCTCCACGCTGCCACCAAACTCATCTGTTCCCGACGCGATATTTGGGGCCGTTGGAGCTATGGCTAACGCTTTGGAGGAGGACTTCACCAATTACATGGATGCATTCACGCCTTTCCTATACAATGCTCTTGGCAACCAAGAGGAGCAACAGCTCTGCTCAATGGCCATTGGTCTCGTTGGTGACATTGCCCGTTCAATAAACGACAAGGCAGCGCCTTACTGCGACCACTTCATGAACTATTTGCTCAACAATCTCCAGGTATGTGTTCCTGCTTGCAATGGTTTGTTCTGAGCGATAATAACAAGAAAACAGAGCAACACTCTTAGCCAGCAATTCAAACCAGCCATTCTCCAGTGCTTTGGTGACATCGCTCAAGCAATTGGGGGCCACTTCGAGACATATCTGCAAGTGGTCATGGGTGTTCTTCAACAGGCGTCTGGGATTACTGCCAGTTCCGATAGCAACTACGAGATGGTAGAATATGTCATCTCGCTACGAGAAGGAATCATGGATGCGTACGACGGCATCATCATTGCTCTGAAATCGGGCGATAAGAGTGAGACCTTGTGTTGCATAGCTTGTTTAGACACTGGAATTATGCTAACATAACTTTAGCCCCTCTCCTTGCCCCTTACGTTCAGCATATATTCGGGTTCCTGTCATCGGTAAATGCCGACATAAACAAGACTGAAGGACTGATGAGATCTGGCATGGGTGTTCTTGGGTAAGTTGCAATATCCTGAGGCTTTCTTTACACATAAACTTACTTTGAGTAGGGATTTGGCGGACGCCTTCCCCGGTGGCGAGATTGCCCAGTACTTTCGTGCCGATTGGATCGGTGCCATGATCAAGGAAGTACGACAAAACCGGGACTTTAGCTCTAGAACACTTGAAACTGCTCGATGGACAAGGGAACAGGTGAAGCGTCAGCAGGCACAAGCTTCTTAGATGTTAAAAATCTCTCGGAAATGAATTTTTTTTCTGCTGCCAAGGTTAGAACGAAAAATGGAAGGGTGGGGGGAGGGGAAAGAAGAAAATATTTTTCCGAGTTTCCTAGATGAAGAGGTTCATTTTCCAATCAGTCGGTTCAAATCTGGGCATTACCTTTGGTTTTTTACTTCTCTTTTTGTTTTCCAACTCGGGGTCCTTGGGGGAGTTTGCTGTTTCTCTTATCCTCTCCGTATCTCTTGGTTTTTGTTTTCTTTTCATAGTTGCTCTTTCCCGGCGGTTACGGTTGGTAATGAAAAAAAAAGCATGTGCGAATGTCTGACTATAGGATCTGAAGGATATATTTATGCTTGATGAATCCTGGTTAGAGATACACTATGTTTTTATTCCTCTTTTGTTTTCATTTCTTCCTCTTGTTTTCGTTTAGATGGATCGGTTGAAGACGGGCCTGTCTTGTGGTTTCTTTCTTGTCTTGCATTGGTTTTCCCCTATCCTCTCCGCTCCCATCCCATCCCTTCCTGCACCACTACCCATAAACTACCCATAAACTACCCTGGAAGAGCTCTTATACACGATCGTATTTCCCACTTTGTCTTTACGTCATATGATATATGATCTTATGTTAAAACATCGTCCCCTATCCCATGCCTCATGTCTCCCCATATCATCCTCACATGAATCCACTTTTCCTATTTGTGCCTGTACCCATTTGTAACTGTTAATTAGCGCTTTTATTCCTTTCCCTGCACTCGCTTTTCGGGCCTGGCTTCCGGAAAGAACCGTTAAAACCGTGATCGCATTGGATAGCCGCAATGTATCAACACTTTTGTAAATCTTTTTTCCAAAGATCTTACACTTACTTGATGGGGCATATGTTTCTTAAAAATCACGCGCCCCGGCATTCCTTTTTTTTCACTCTCATTATCATTATCGATATCTGCAAAATCATGTACTTCTACGTGCGCTCATGTATTCTTTTACTGGATGATGGATGTAGCCTGGATATGTAGCCTTCATGGGTCATGGATTATCACTCGAATCATCTCATCCCTTGCTAGTCAATAACTATAAATTCGATGAAGGTTGGCTTGACATTTTAAGCTTGGAATAATTGTGTATCCCGCTTTATGTTTGGCATCTTGCTTAAATATGGCGAGCTAACTTGAATGGGGCGATTGTACCTTCTACGTACATGTATTCCACGAGCCAGCTTTGCTATTGAGAGTCGGGACTAAAGTGCTCAGAGGCAACTGCGGTATACTAATGTGTGGTTTTTTTCCCCCGTCAAGAACATGATGTGTCTCCTGTCTTGATCGTTATATGCAATCGTTCAACATCAATGAAAAGTTGTCTAATAGAGGCTGGATAATCTAAACAGTCGAGTCTCCCTGTGACTTTGGTTCCTTGTTGGCGCTAATAGATAACTTGTACAGCTTGCCGTGAGAATAAGTTTTCGCCACCAATCTTGTATGATCCATATTGTATGTCCTGGGGCTATCAGAATCATATGTGCATCCAACTAAATACAGTCCCAAAAGACGAAGAAAGGTTGTCTTCTTGAACTAGACATGCGTACCAATAGTGGAGTTTGGTGTACCTAGTTAACGTTGATTTGAGTACTATCACTAGAAACCTGAAATTCTTGGCCCAGGCTTCCCGCAATGCCTCATTCCTTTCTGGGATCCAAATGAATTTTCTAAGTGAAATCCGCAGCGCCTGTAATGTTAGTGGCCACAACAAAAAAAAACCTACCAAATACTTAAAACACACCTGGATTATAATTTAAGTTGCAATCCCAGTCCTGCGTTTGAGTGCTATGGTGGATCAATATATTAACTTTGTTCTGTTACTATGTCTCGGGACGCCAATTTTTCACCGCACGCAATGGACGTCTAAATAGAAATTGATTTGGCCAGATTTCTTCGATATAATTGCAGGCATATATCATATGCTATATAGAGGGCTCATGTGGTGGCGTTATGAGGGTCCTTGATGCCCAGGCAAGTCATAGAAGACAGACCGGCCCATACGAGCTCCAAAACATACTCCAGCATCTCAAGAATTTTAGGAAACCCAAATTCTCGTCTGTAGATCTTGAGAAGTCTCCGCATTGGAAGATCAGGTACAGCATGGGCTGTGTAACGTGGGGTACAAGCCACTAAAGTTGATAGGTTATTCCCAGATCGAGGCTAGATGCACCCCTCCTTCCGAGTAAGCCCTTCGCCGTTCCTTAACTTGCGGACAGCCGCGCCGCCTCTACATACTTCTTCTTCTCCTCCTCGAGCGCTCCCCTCCTATTCTGTCCGAGAACAGCCTCCTGCTGCATCTTTCAGCATCCCACCCATCGCTACACAAGTCTGTCCCCCAGGACGATTTGCGATACCTGGTCCTTGAGATACCTACATAGGTAGAGAGAGATACATCCCTTCCCCTCCATAACCACACACACACCCAGCTTTCCCGATAAACAAGAAGAGCTTTCCATATTACAAATATACCTCAACTGTACCTGAATCTCATTCAACAGCTGTATTCTTCGATCCTCAGATTATTCCATCAAAAGAAACACTTAGGCGTGGGGAAACCTGTACTCTCGTACTGTGGAGGCTCTAATCTGTGAGAGGTACATAGACTCATCGCAGACAGAGGGAGAGGGAAACAGAGAGAAAAGCAAGGATCAACCGAAGCGAACCTCCGGAATTTGTTCAATTTCCCTTCCATGGTATTCGCTCAGAATTATTAATCCTCGGGCAACGGAAAAAGATAATAAATAATAGTAAACTTGTTGCTATAATCTGCTTTTGATACATTCCTGCATGGGATACTGTTCTCTCCCGGATATCCATAGCCCACAACAACTTCCACGATGACCGAACGACCGTCAACGGCGACGGGCAGCAACCGCAATTTCAACCAGGCATTGACCTCCCCACTGAGGCCAAATACGAGCGGTGGCCCTGGAATCTCTGTGACTGGTGCTTCGCCGACAGGATCAAGAACTCCACCTCCGAATGAGAACCGCCGGTCTATCAGTGGTGCTTCGTCCTCACCTCGACCAAAAGCGAAAGGTCCGCTATACTCCAATCCACGAAATCTGATTGTACGGATATCCGCTGGTCCTGACACAAAGCAGAATCTACCAACACATTTTGTCGAAACATCACAATCTACGGGTATTGTCGTTACCAAGATAAGGGTGAGAGGTCAGAGGTTATAGATGTCCTGGAATAGGTCACTAAGATCACCCCAGGCTGCGCATTCAATCACGATCCCCATTCGCAAAAACAGCAATCTGGGAGCGGGCGAGGGAAATTCAACGTAGACTCACCCTCTTTCACTCCGGCGACTCCCCCCAAGAAGACAATATCCCCGAACGTTGCGGACGCTGCACCTTTCACCCCGAAACACACCACTGGTAATACATTGAGCAGGGCAAACTCTGCGGCATCTCGAGCTGACGTGCTAGGAGTTGCGGCACCCCCGGTTGCGCCTCAATTTCATGATCCTAATAATGGGTGGGTAGCTTACAATCTCAAAGGCTTTCCTCACTCGTTTTCTTGTCGGCTGATTGTGGATAGTTACTCAATATCCCACGCAGTTGATCATCAGCAGAATTATCAGTTACAGCAGCATGGCTTTGATCCCATAGGGTTGGCGGAAAATGTATATTCGCCTACGAAATCACGGCGCAGGGCTAACAAAATGAAGAACGCGGCAACAAACGCAATGAATGCATATGAGTTTCCGGTCCCACAGTCGGTAAATCCATATGCGCAGACGGGCGATATGTTTTTCCCACAAACACAGTCATATACACCTCTGGTTGTGCCCCCCCCCCCCTTTGCAATTTTTGCCATGATTGATTTCACAATGGAGAGTTTTGTTAACTCCATTATCTCACTTTGAAGCTCCCTTACCACCGTTATGCTCCTTTGGCTCCCTTTCCGCAAAAACTTTTACCGTTTCAAAGGAACATTCATGGATTCTTCATGTCCGATAATCTCAGGGAAGAGCTCCAAAGGAAAGCAGAAATTACGTTGCAGTCTTTACCAAGTAATTCAGTCCCTTTCGGTTTTTTTATTAGCCAGGGTGGATGGTGATTGACATGAATATCTCTTTCGTCCTGATAAAGGCGTTTCTTCGCTTCTTCCCCCGGCAGTGGAGGAATTTCACTCTTTAGTGCCACTAGATACATCAAACCAAAAGAACATAAATGTATTTGGATATCCAAGCTGGGTTTATAAGGCATTCTCAAATGAAGATGCCAACCCATATGCGCTCCGGAGAGTTGAGGGTAAGTTCTTTTGCCGCGTTTCATTTGAATATAAAAGCCCTAACAGGTGAGATATCAATGTATAGGGTTCCGTTTATCCAACGAAGCCGATATCAGAATAGTACAAAGATGGAAAAAGGTTTTGAGCGCAAACATAGTGACCATCCATAACGCTTGGACTACTACAAAATTTGGAGACAGCTGTAAGTCAACCCAGATCTTCTTTCGGCTCATTGCATCCGACGAGCTTGTGAGCGTTCATGCCTAAGTTTTGTCTTGTAGCTATCATCTTCGTCTATGATTACCATCCTTTGTCCAAGACGCTGGCTGAGACTCACTTTGGGCCAAGTCCAAGATACACTACCCCTCGACATTCTGTTGGGCCTATAGTTCCAGAACAAGTACTATGGAGCTATATTGTACAGATTGCTTCAGCGCTGAAAGTCATTCATAGTGCAGGTCTGGCAGCGAGGGTAATCGAAGGATCAAAAATATTGGTTACAAGCAAAATGCGGTACTTAAACCAGTTTAGAAATGTCTGGAATGTTATTGACTGATTGTGCTAGAATACGCTTGAATTGTTGCGGTATCCTGGACGTGATACATCCAGACACCATAAAAACTCAGGACATGGTGCGTGAGGCTCAGCTTGAGGACCTGACCCAGCTAGGTCGGCTCATGCTTTCCGTTGCATGCAACACTCCAACGGCGCTTCAAAACTTCCAGAAAAGTATGGATTATATCAGGAGACATTACTCCATGCAATTGCATGACAGCATCTACCTTCTTGCCACAGGTGCAACGAAGTCTGTGGAAGAGTTCATCAAGACAATTGCCAACCAGGCGTTCCAGAATTTTGACAGCGCTCTGCATTATGAAGACTCGCTTGAATCGGAGCTTTCAAGAGAACTTGAGAACGGTCGGCTGGTCCGGCTTTTGTGCAAGTTTGGGTTCATCAATGAGAGACCAGAGTTCGATCACGATCCAAGATGGAGTGAAACTGGTGATCGTTATTACTTGAAGCTCTTTAGAGATTATGTCTTTCATTCGGTTGATGAAAACGGTCAACCGGTGGTGGATATTGCACATGTGTTGAGCTGCCTGAACAAGTTGGATGCCGGCGTAGACGAGAGAATTATGTTGGTCTCTCGGGACAGCATGAATTGTTTTGTTGTGACCTACAAGGAGGTATGTTTAGTGATTTACTTGCTTTATCTGATAGAACTGACACAATACAGCTGAAACGACAAGTCGAAACATGTTTCCAGGATCTCAACAAAAACAACAGACGGTAAAATAGCCTCTTCTATGTACTGGATGTATGGGTCTATTGCGTAGAGAAAAGAGCGATATACCCAGGTTTGGAGGTTCTGAACCTTTCTCGGGGTGAGAATCATGTGTAAAGATCAACATGGTTATTAGTTACGTGAGTATAAGACTTTGGTTTCTTTACTTGCATTTATATGCATTAGTCTAGAGAACGGAGGTTGTTTGGAGGATGATTAGTGGGAGGAACGTTCCATATTTGTTGCCTTACACCTTGTCTGTAATATTGGGAACGAATATCTGCAATGTATCTTAGTGACTTTTTTTCCTTTGGCGGTTCCAATGCTGAGTATAATTTCATTCCTTCTGCGTTGTTTTGTAATAGGAACACACGAGCGAACAAGGTAAAACCAGAAGAGCGATTGCCAGAACTTCTGTAAGAAGACTTGTAGTTATCCGTTGTAATTAGAGAAGAAGTTGGGGGTGCTCAACTATTCATATCGTTACTCTTGTAAGTCACTTTTTATTTATACTAGATCACTCGTGGTATCTATGATTTTGTAAGCCCTAGTGTGCTATCAGACCGGCTATTGAATTTGGACTACGGAGCAGTCGAGTTGTCAGTCTACCCCAAACAGTGATATTGTGCAGCTTCTCTACCCCAGGGCACACTATCATTGGTAGTTAGACACAACCCCGGTCAAACTCCTAACGTATGCAAAACTCTCCCACGAACTTCGGATAATGAATCAACAACTCACAAAGTCGAGCACGTTAAGAGCGACAAATCATATGAAGGCCCAGGTACATACAATAGACTTGACCCATTAGGATGCACGCGCATATGCAGGAACTAGGTTTTGAATTATAGGACATACCCAATCAAGTATGACACGTTAACGTATGTGCCTGCAGCTAGTACCGAGCTTGTATCATGTCCTTTGAGCACTACATGAACTAAAAGACATTCAACCAGTGTAGAGACTTGAGATGAGATGTTTAGCGCAGCCAAACATTTGTGTGCACGACTTTTTTTTTGCCCTTGTTCTCTTCTTCGAGGTGGGGCTCATGAGTATTATATTACAGTACTTCCCACGCACCGTTTATGGGTAGATAGGATGCTGGCATTTATATTGTAAATAGTATTAACGACACTCTTTCTGTTCATTTGCTAGGCTTCTGCTTTTGAAGGTAAGGGAAGCTAAGCTTCAGTCACGAGTTTAAATTGACTTCTATTGATCTTTACTAACCTACTGTATTTAAATACAGGGCCTCGAGTCTTAGCTACTCTAATTCTTCATTTATAACATAACAAATAGCTCTTTATATTCACGACAATAACGCTTTCATCATGCTTTTCCAACGCACTTTCACCCAGCTTTCACCTCTCGCTCTAATAATCTTGGGAGTGCAACTGGTTGCCTCACACTCATGGGTAGGATAACCTGACCCAAGATCATTTCCGGTTTTTGATAATACGCTAACGCCCTTCATATATAGCTCCAATATCTCGAAATCGAGAGTACTGGCGCTATTGGATATCCTAGAAACTTCTGTACGTCTCATATATAATAATCTTTTAAAGACACCTATAGTTCTTATATCAATAATCTAATAAACTCCCCAACAGTCGAACCCGACCCACAAGCCGATCTGCACCATGTCAACTTGATGGAGTCTAATAAATCCCTTATCTGTAATCAATTTCAAAGGGATGCCGTAAATCTACCGGCAACACCCCGACTCAAAGCATCCCCCGGAGACACAGTGATCGGCTGGCATCGCGAGAATGGGCATACGACAGACCCAGTGTATTCTGGGAAAGCTGGTAAAACATATTGGTACGGTACTTCGCAGCCAAGTAAGCAAACGACCCTGGGAGATGTCAAGACATGGACGCGCGATGGCGGCCCCAAAGGAGCACTCGTAGGTACTTCGAAGTTCGATGACGGAGAATGTGCGGAGCCCAACCATACCAAGATCTCCAAAGACAGGGGAGTCGGCGTATATGGTAAGAACAAAAACTGCAGAGACAGCGGCTTCGTGGTCCCTAAATACCTAAAGGCTGGGACTACATACTCGCTGTACTGGGTCTGGGACTACAGCGATAAGTATGGACCGGCCGCGGATACGGGTCACTTTGAGGTGAGTCTAGCCCCTGACTATTTGTTTTTCTAGTAAATGATACTAACGGCAGTTATCTCATAGCATTATTCCCACTGCGTTGATATCGATATCGTTGCAGAAGAGGGCGAACCAAAGGTTCGTAGGGTGCGTCGATTCAATGGCCTCTCGCGCGCTCGCGACCTTGATTCTGAGGCTTAAAGCAGACCACTATGCTTTTCATTTTTAATTCGAAGGGGGGCAGGTTCTTCTTTTATCATTCTACCTTTCTGGACCTATTCAGGACACTTGGAGTATATTTTCCTTTGTTTGTATCTTAATTAGGGTATTATATGGAGTTTTTTTCTCTTTCTTATTGAAGTTTTGCTGTAAAGTAACCAAGTAATGAATTTTTCATGCATGAAAAGCTGCAAAATGATTTCTATGGGATAGGTGTATGCGAGTGACGGTCCATGAACCTTGGCTACTAGGTTAAATATCACTCGACCATAGTATTCAACCTGCGCCTATTCTAAGTCGATTGTTTGGGAATCCAGCCGAGGCACATGGTTTTCAGATAGGTTTGCCTAAGCTTTCCCCAGCTCACACAAAACCAAACAACAGCTTCCCGACAGCTTGGGGACGCCAGACACAACCGAGATGTAGCAAACGCAAAAGTTCGGCTGCGCTTTATTGGTGCGATCTCTAACGCAGACCCTTTTTTCGATGCTGGTACTGTGATAGCATACAAATCCTATGAGGCAAGAAAATATCAAAAGGAAAAAACGCCAACCCTGTAATTATCATAAATTTTTTCTTCCTGCAATTTAATGATACCCGTGCTTCTAGCTCTAGCTCTCTTGTAGGAAGGGGTTTTCAATTTGCTCACTGCCGTCGATTGGAGAGATGAGCGTCAACATGGGACCTCTCGCAACAATGAGGCCAAGTTCACGTGTGTGCTCGTTTCCGTCCTCGTCTGTAGTACTCAGGTCATAATTATTAGCACCAATGCACCAAACGCCAAGTTATTGAGCCACAAAACATACCTCGCAAGTTCTCCTTCACGTCGTCCAATACCAGGTTCATGAGCTGGTCGTAGCCCTTCAGAATTCCGACAACTACACCAGCAGTCAGCTAACCATGTCTCTCGAGCAACACCACACAACAAAAAACCCTTACCCTCCCTTCCACCGTTGAATTTAACGGTAATAGCCTTATCCATAAACTTTGCCAGGTCTAAAATAGCCTCGCGGGGCTTCCGTTCTTGCTGCTGGTCCCGGTTGTATGAACCCTGGTTTCCACCGCCACGGCCGCCGCCTCGACCACCGCCGCCGCCGGGGCCACCACGTCCTCCTCGAAAGCCGCCGCGTTGTCTGTTGTCCATTCTGAGAATTTGAGAGTGGGATTGGTTATTTGGATTGGCGGGGTATGGTATACTGTAATTGGGACGGAGGGGTGTTGAAGGAGGGCCTTAGGTTACCCTGCTTTAGTGCTTGGCTCGTAGTGGTGTCAAGGATCAGCTCTCCAATTTGCGTATGTAGCCGGCACATGTACCCATACGGAATGATATGATTCACAATTATTAAATACCCAATATTTTAGTAGCAGGGTTGTATCAAAGCTAATAGCTGCAGTAATAATATCACATCTTAGGATTAGTTAGCGCTTGCAAAAATCGGATCCAATTATGACCGCGCGCATATAGACATTTCAATCATTGATCCTCCCTGGCTTCTAGGTACGTTGTCAAAAAAACTACTACGTAAACAGCTTACCAGCAGTGGTCGTGAGTCGTGATGTATATGATGTTTCGCATGATGAATATGAATGATTAGCTGTAAGTGCACTGATATTAATCGTTACTAATTGAATAAATGAAGACTGATTTCGTATTATAGACCTTATTTCATGATTAGCATACGTACCCCGCGGCGCTCTACGCATACTCTACTGTTTCACCATCTTCTCAGTACTTAAGCTTTCTTCGCCTGTATCAACATTTCTAAAGCCGAAATAATCGCCCTCTTGCCCTCTCGACCTATTCAGCAAGTATTTCTATTCGTCAATTTCTTACAATTGAGTGGATAGAGTACTCAATGGGCTGTGCACGGGAGTACCGAATCACAAACTGTACTTTTAACTCAGAGCATCTAACATTGAAACATGTAAGATGTGTTCAAAGAAGGGGGTGGGAAGAGGTTTGATGGGAAGGCATGTTTACCATACTATGATAACGTGGACATCAAAATCGAGGCCGTGCTAACTGACTTCACAAATTACAACGTTGTTCCTGTGGGGCATGCGGTGTTGAAACACTGAGTTCATCTGTACACATATGCACATGCACAGTAGAGTCGATCTGAAACCTGCTCACCCGCGTGTTTATTCCTACATACATGTACCCCGGGCCGCGGGTACATATACAACAGCAGTGTAATTTATCTTTAGCCGCGGGCTGGGACGTACATCATATTCACGTTCATTCAATTACAGAGCTATAGGAATTTTTGAATTCTGTTCCAGATCAAGATCAAAATAATATTCTATCATAAAACCGCATGTAGAATTATAATTTAAAATAAAAAATAAAAAGCATTAAAGGTCCTCTCTTTTTTTAATCTCTATCGGACTTGACCACCGCGTTTATCGAGACCAGTCCAAACCCTCGCATTGGGGTTCTTCCTCCTGAAAAGAGGACTCAAAAGAATCAAATCAATCACCTCAAAACTTCTCCGACCAAGACCAAGCCAAATTTTAAGTTATAACGAAACCCCCCCCCCCCCCCCCAAAACCAGAACCTCCTAAAACCAGAGGGGGGAGGGGGGGACAAAAAAACAAACCCAAATAACACCGTAAATAAAAGTACATTAAATCAAAAGACAAACTCCACGTTAACCCATGCTAGATGCCTGGAAAAAAAAAAGGAAAACAGCCCATCGAGGCCAAACTAAGCCACCGACCGCTCATCCCAATCATCAGCATCTGCATCATCATCCTCCACCGTTACAGTGGACACAACATCCCACTCGCCCTCCCTATCCGTCGGTGCCAAAGACACCATATCCCAGTCTCGGTCCACTTCGATCCCTGGGAACGGATCCACCACCGCCTCCGTTGGTGTATCATAAAGAATACCCATCTCGTAAAGTGTCTATCCGCGAGCTTGTCAGTTCTGGTTCTTTATCTTCTTTTCCTCAGCGGTGGTAATCAAACATACATCATCCGCGGCTGCCAGATCTAGGCGGATAGTAGCAGCGCTGCCATGGTAATCATCGTAGAACCACGCCAGGTTCAACTCGCGCGCGACGTCACTATCGACCTCAGCGTCGAGGTTCTCGGCTTCGTACATCTCGGAGAGGATGAGCTTGGTGTTGTGTCTTGTGATATCACGACGACCAAACTTGCTAATGTGTGCGCGGTTGACTCCCATTGTTTGGTGCTTTTTAGGTTTTTGTTGTTGAAGGGCTATTAGAGGGATTTATAAGGAGGAGATAATTTATAAGATGGAATTTTTTCTTTTAGGACCCTGATCCTTCTAGAAGTTGCTTGTCTGTATTTTTTGATGATTTCTAACTTTTCGGGCAGTCAGGGCCATGATTTATATTCCATAAGGTCCCACGAGCCACGAGCATGACTCACACACCACTCTCACTATCCACTCCTTTAATTACGATAAAGGTCAAATTGAAGGTACCAGAGTGCTAGGGGCGCCTGAGAATGCAATGCCGGTGATTGCGCGCTTTGGTAGTCATCGCGCACCATAGCCCGGGAATCTTGTGTGACTGCGGTCCGACTCCCTCGGGATAAGCGAATCGATATCTGATAAGCCGCCTAAGCCAATGAAATGACTCACCCTAAAGAACTCAGTCACCGTGAGACTTTTCCGACTCATTCTAGAGAGAGAGAGGGGGGGTCTTTATGTGATGCGAATAGCTGAATTGTAAGGATTGCACCTAAGACATTCCTGTGCTTGCTGCGCCGCTGGAAGGCTTAGCTCTGACGAGTGATTTTCTGTGATTGGGCTCCCGTGGTGATCTTATGAGTACCCTTTGGTTTGCGGGATTTGATTTCGGAGATGGTGTGGCTGATCAATGCACGCTAATGTTAGCTAGACGTCAAGTCTCGCAAAGAGCCGTCTTGCATGGCTCTTGATTCTGGTGTATGAAACAATATCGAAATGATCGAGCCCACCCCACACTATAGGCCCACTGAGGTCATAAATACAAACAGTCACCTATAAAGAATTTACTCATAACGAGATAACCATGGCATATCTCGATCTAGGCTTTTTATTATTTTCTGTACCCTTGATCATGTCTTGCACTGTCGGAATATCTAGGAGCATAAGATAGCTGACTAAGTCATTTACTGTATAAAAGTTTTAAAGTAGTCATTTATATGACCACCGTTAATAAATGACCTTTTTTATTATTTATTATTTCAATTCTGAATTATATTATTTACTGCAGATACGGTATATCTCTAGATCTGTCCGTCGTTACCTCTACCGTATCTGCTGCTGCTACTACCGCTATTAGTGGTGGTTCTTAGTGGTGGCTATTCTAATTATCTCAGAAATAAGGTTTCACTAGCGTAAAGTTAAAAAATTTCACCCAAAATCTACGGTCAATTAGTGAAAAATGACGAAGTAATTTTGCTAAACGACTTAAACATCTGTTCTTATCCCCTAGAGAATGGTTCACACCTCCTCGGTTTTCGTTACTCCGAACCACAAAAATACTGGACTATTTACAGCTCTAAATTATATATGTAAATAATTATATATAACTGCATAACCGAGCCCAGCCGCGGACAGCGGCTATACTTCAAGATAACAGCCGTGTTTTCAAGTTCAAAGGTAGAGTATATATATATATATAGAACACCCCGACATATATGCAAGGAGCAGAATAAACAAGTCCAAAAAAAAAAGCAAGAGCAGAGAAAAAATCTCTCTATCATTTCCTATTTATTTACCTTCCAAGCACCTATTAAAATTTCCGGGTCATAAAAAAAAGACAAAAAAGACAAAAAAGTTCCCCGAAGGTAATCTTTCGGCCTCCCCTGGCCTCCATCGTGGTTCGAACTAAGGCACAACGGTTTTGGTAAATTAAACAAGATGTTTACCGCTTGACCGTAAGAACCACGACGTGTCCCGGGTTGTTTTGGCTGCCTTTGCCTGACTCTGGCTGAGTTTCAACCTTGGCAAATTGTTGCAGAATTTTGGGTGGGCGTGGATTTATATTATTCTGAGCTAGCTTGGCAAGTCAAACAATCAGGTTATCTTATAAATGTTTGCTAAATGGCGGATCAACAGACTTAAATTAAAGTAGTGATATAGAGCTGGGTACCTGTTTGAAATCTTAGAGCTCTGCAGGGGAATTCTACACCTATGTACGAGCTCCTCCACGCCAACCCCGCTCCACCTCCAAGAACAAGAAACCCTGAGTCCAGAACGAATAATCCGCGGACTACCTTTCGCTTCTGATATTGTAATTTACAAGTCAAGATATTTCATATAAGAGAGATCCCCGAGGGTTGGGGCTTTACAAGAATTCCAATCGTTGGCCTCTGGCTAGCCTAGTGCTACTAATTCTTGGCAGGCCCAACCGTCTCAAGCTTAAGCCGAGCCTAGAATCATGATATATCACTCTGTGCACATCACATTACAGGCAGGTCTTCAAAACTGGTCACAATAATCGGTATCGATTCACTACTCCTAAACCGCTATATAAGCTCACCAAATCCCATCTATCCACACATCTTTAATTCCACTCTTTAAACTCCCATCTCTCGCCCGCCGTCCAAAACCCCACCTCCGACCAATCCCACCCTTCTACACCTCTAAAATTAAAGCTCACCACCAGCCTCGAGGCTCTCGTGTTTATAAAGTCCCATACCACGACGCCCAATGTCTCACCCCTCAACTCGACAAACTCCTCTCTCCAGGCCGGGAATGCCGCATCCCACGCTGTCTCCCACGCCGTCCTAAGGAAGAACTGCACGCGGTTGTTGATGCCCCATGCTTCATTCGTCGCCACGTTGCGCGGCACACAGAACAGCGATGCGCCAGAGAGATAGTTTACCAGCAACGGGAGATCCTGTGGATTAGTAGCGGGGACGGAGGCGTCAAGAATAGAGTTGAAGAAGGAGATCCACTCCCGCCAGAAGTTGATGATGAGGTCCCACTTCTTCTTGATCACATCTAGGTACGTGTACAACTGATAGTGATCCTGGATCTTGATCCTCTTCTCGTCCGTATACGGCAGGCCGAGCTCATACGTTGCGCCCTCCGCATCATAATCCCTCAACACGACGACCCTACCGCGGGCCTCCCCCAACAGTGGGAGCCGCCTGCTCGTATCCCCAGGGAACCACAGCAGGTCCGTCAACATCTCCACGGTGTCCTCGTGCACATCGATGTACCACTCAAGCGTCTGCACAAACGTGCGTGTATTTCGCTGTGCGTGTTGCTCGTCCTTGAGGCGCATGAGCACGACCTCGGAGCTGCCGGGACCCGTTAGGAAGGCGTGGAGCATACGGACGACGAACGTAAAGTTTGTGCCGAGATACACGACACCGTGGTGCATCTCGAAGGTGTTTCGGTAGTGGCGGGCGCGGATGTCGATGAAGCGGACGCCGGCGTGGAGCTGCTGGTACAGTGTGCCGGTTTGTGTGGTGGTGAACTTGGGGAGGCGGTTGGCGCGGTAGGCCATGGTGTCGTGGGTGCCGGGGATAGAGAGTGTGTTGAGGGGTGTGTGGAAGGGGAGGTGTGACATCCAGGTACTCATATTCATGGGCTTCGTGGGCAGTGGGAGGTGTGGGGGGGAGAACTTGTGGTGCATCTCGTAGAGGTAGGGGAAGGGGGTGAGGGCACTGGAAGGTAGGTGGAGGATGAGGAGGAGGAGGGAGCTGTGTAGATACTTCATTGTTCATGGCTAACTTACTGATGGGTTTGATGGGATGTAGTGTGGTTCCGGAGATGTGGTGATATCTTGTGAACAGATATGATGTTCTGAAGCCCTAGGAAAGTATCACCAAGTATGCAGTAAGTATGGTCAGTCATGAGTGAATATACTACTGGAAATCCCGGGGATGTCTTCACGAAAGATATTGCACAAAGAACTTCCTCGACTCAATTGATAAATGGAATAATTAACTATTTAATTAATACAAGCCTATCAACAGGCCGCGAGAATAACGGGGCAAAAACAATGCCGCTCATACAACACTATAAAATATTAGCAGATATTGCTTCAAGGTATTCGAAAACTACTTACATAACAAAAAACAGTCCAAATCAATCATTACCATTCATACCCATTACATGTACCTTGACCCTGACTGATCAATGCCAGCATCTCGGAACCCGTGGGCGCCGCAGTCAAGTTCTCATTGCCGTTTTCTAGGATCAGGATATCATCCTCAATCCTGACACCCCCCACGTCCCAATACCTATCTAAAACCTTTTTGTTGATATATTTCCCGTGTGTGGGATGTGCCAAGTACGGCAGGATGATGAATTCGCAAAAGTATCTACCACACAATTAATACCACGTCGACTAAAATCTATGGGCGAGTTCACTTACATTCCCGGTTCCACGGTAATGACCATTCGTGGCTGCAAAGTCCTTCTCACTGCCGTCTTATAAAGCCCTCTGCCCACTCTCGGCGTCGGGAGCGTCGGCGCCATCGAGACACTAGCTCCCTCAGCCTTCCAGTTGACATCTGGTGTCCCCTCGACATCGTGCGTATCGAGCCCCAAAAAGTGGCCCAGCCCATGAGGGAAAAAGGCCTTACTAGTACCGGCCCTGAAGATCTCCTCCTCAGTGCCATTATACAGGATCCCCAGCTGCATCAACCCCTTCACCGCAATCCGGTGTGCAAGCGTATGTGTATCCCGCCAGTCCACGCCCTTCACAGTGCGCTTAATGCACTCACGCTGCATCGTCTCTACAATGGTATATATATCCTTCGCCTCCTTTGTCCATCTCCCCGAGATCGGGAAAGTCCTCGTCACATCACTCGCATACCCCTCCCACTCCGCACCTGCATCCAGTAGCACCAACTGCCGTCCCTTCAGCGGCTCATCGTTGCGCACATAATGCAACGTCGCCGCGTTCCGCCCGGACCCAACAATCGGATCATAGGCCTGCGTTTTTGCCTGCCGCGAGACACACTGCTGCAGGAAGATTCCCTCAAGTTCAGCCTCGTTCTTTGCGGTGCGGACGGCGGCCATGACAGCGCGGTGGGCGGCGGCCGAGATGGCGTTGGCTTTGCGGAGGAGCGCAATCTCGTGGTCGTCTTTGTAGACGCGTGCATTGTCCATTGCGGGTTGCAGGTGGCGGTTATTGATACTAGTTGTGGGTACGGTGGTGGGGATGAGTGATTGCTGTGTGTGCAAGATGTAGAGGGGGGAGTGCGGGGAGCTGAGGTGGTAGCTAAGGATGTCGTCAGCGACGGCGGTCGAGTGCAGGACTTCATCGACGTCGTATCTATAAACGGTCAGTATCGTCGGGCGGGCGGGCCAATGGAGCCTTGGGGTGCGGACTTGTAGATGCAGTCTTCGATCGACGGCGGCAGGCCTGACCAGAGCACCTGGCTGGGGTTGAAGGGCGGTATATAGCTATCACAAACGCCGCGTTAGCTTCTTTGTAGACCGACGGCTGTCAGTGCGCGGCAAACTGGAGCTTACAGTGTCAACTTGTCATCCTGAATGGAGTAGATGAGGTAGCAGTCTGGGATATCCGGGACACCGGAAAGGTACAGAAAGTAGCGTCTTTGGCGGAACTTTACTGCCTCGTCTGAGTCCTCGAAGAGGACTGTTGGTGTGCCCTCGAGGTAGATCAGGCCGTCCTTTACTTGGAGCTCTTTGGCGACGTTGCGCGCGTGCTGCTTGGCTGGAGAGTGGGTTTGTTAGCTGTGCGATAGGCTAATTCAGAGGTGGGTTTGCAACTACCTGGGTATTTCTCCATTGGGGACGAGGCTGATATGGAGATACTCAGACTCGTGGGGGAGAACTCGGACGTGGTGTGGGCAGTGGAGGCAGACATCTCACAGCAGTACTCTCTCTCTCCCTCTCTATTTAAGCTTAAGTTCAGATGGAAGCAGCTCGGAGAGATGAGGGGGGAAACTGATGAGTTGTATCTGTCGTGTGTTGTGTGTGGGCGGGGGGGTAGAGAGTGAGGAGTGTGTGGGTGAGCGAGCGAGTGATTGACTGATTGACTGACTTCTTTCCCCATGCCGGGGTCCCGGGCGACGCGACCCAGACGGGAGAGAGCACGTGCACATGCGATACATATGGAGTGCAGTGCCAAGAAAAGGGTCCACTTTAGGGTACGATTATCATTGTCACTTGCATCCCATTGGCTGGTGTATAGAGCAGCTATGTGTACGGATCCTATTCTGGACGTGTATCAATTGCTAAATCCAATGGCGGATCTCTGTGCCGGCCTACTATGGAAGGTAGAGTTGCATCATATGATATCACTCGCTACCTAGGTGCAACGGCTCTCGAAAAATATCCGTGGTTCAAAACCCAGCGTTTCTTTAAGAAATTACATGTACATTGATATAAAAACCTTCTTCAAGTTATTTGTACGTGAAAGTAGGAATTGCGATTCTGTCTTCGGCGTTATGTTTGTGTAGAATACCCCCCAACCCCGAGTCCATCGATACATGTAGTTATCCAGGTAGACTAGCTCCACCACTCATCCGGACACTCCCCTCAGTTAGACAATTGATAGTGGTTGTTACAAGCCGGCTAGAACGTAGATTTGATTGTTTTTATGTCAACTGTTTGGGTGAAGGAGGCCTCCGGGTGAATGGTGAAGCCGTCTATAACCAAAGAGTAAATGCGTAGAATATAATACACCTGGTAAATGATAGTATACTGTGAGAGTTTCCAGCTCCGGCGCAGTTCCCGCCTTTCAGTTACCCAAAACGTACATTGCCAAGCTAGCATAGATCCAACCAGTATTCTGCAACAATTTGCCAAGGTTGAAACTCAGCCAGAGTCAGGCAAAGGCAGCCAAAACAACCCGGGACACGTCGTGGTTCTTACGGTCAAGCGGTAAACATCTTGTTTACTTTACCCAAACCGTTGTGCCTTAGTTCGAACCACGATGGAGGCCAGGGGAGGCCGAAAGATTACCTTCGGGGAACTTTTTGCCTCTTTTTCGATCGGCGCTATCAATTACAGAAAGCATACTAACCACTCACACACACCATGTACCACACACACCGCACACGCTCGCCGATAGTAAATATGAAAAGAGGAACGAAGGAGTGTCTTATCTTTTTATTCCATACTATCTTACTTGACCAATCACTACTCTACATATATAATTTGGGTATCTAAGGCAGCCTGAACAGCCCCGTACGCGTTTTCATAGTATTTTTTGCTTTTCTCATATCATTTGAAATAATGCTTCTTGATTCAAGGTTATATATAGCCATTTCTTTTTAAAAAAACCCGTTACACTTAAATAAGCAATCATAAGACGGTAAGGAAATGTTCGTGTAAGAACTTCGTCTACCACCCGCGCTAGCCTTCATAGTATATCACTCGACGCCGAGACATTGTGTAGGGTTTCTCTTCCCACCACACGGTAGCAGCAGTCGGCTAGTGTAAGCATTATAGTACTACATTTACCTGCGCATATGTTAATAATCTACTATGCCCAACGTCGATGCTGGCCTGCATCGGCCGTCATATGTCTAGCTGCGTAGACGTCTTCTTTCTAGCTCTCGCTTTGGAGGTCGAATTCCTCCGTCGAGCTGGACTACTTTTTGATCTGTGGGCTGGGGGTCTAATATCTTGGTAGGATGATGACAGTGCTGGTGGGATAGCGATCTCGATTCACCCATCTATGCTGAGGAAGAGAGTCTTTCTCTCCCATGTGGTTTTGAAGTCGGCTTACTCTGGACACTCCTCAACCTCGTCTGCTAATTTCCCTTCGGCTAACCATTCGAGCTCTCTCCTAATGTCATCCGAGACTTTGTTACTTCTACGGCTTGGGGGCTTGGGTTGGGACTGTCGTCACGCCTCGATATTGTATACGTGTTGATTTTGGCGCGTTGCAGGAACCTGCGTGATATTACGGGTAGTTGGATGGTGGGCTCAGTGGTATTCGGATATTGGACACACACTAGCTTTCAACAAACTAATTCCCGCCGCTTCCCTATGCACTTATCTTACAGTAGATGGAGTCACGAGATGCCAGAAGGAGAGGGAAACTTTTGGTGTCAATGCCAAAGATATCATGTGAGGTAGGTTATCTACACTCACCCTCTTGTTTAAATTACTCAATAATGTGTATCAGGTTATAAGCAGGCCTAAGAGATGTACGGGTATGATATCATGTCAAGGAATCCTTAGATTTGAGCTTTGGGAACGTTTGAGTAGTGTTTGATATGGGAAAGCGAACTCTCCATGAAGCGTCAAGCTTGAAGAGGTGGAGTAACGAAGTACATAATCTAGATATATTTGAGCTTGTCTTGTGGGGGGCTCGAGCTCTGTGTAATGGGTGAGGGGCATGTCACAAGTCATTATACCCCGCCGCAGGAAGCTCATAACCCCACCCCACTAAATAGCCAAATACTTGTTCCCAAGTGGTTCTTTGCTTGCCATGCGTACTGCTAGTCCTATACGTTTTAGAAAGTATTGTAGGAACAAAGATGAAACATTCGATTTTACGAAAGAATATCGGACTTAGGCTGGCGCCTGGGGGCTTACCTCGATACGAACCTCAGATTCGAGCTTCTGTAAACTACCTAACTATAGGTATGGATTCATCAGTGTTATGGGGGGGGAAACGACTCAGTAAACCTCTACCTCCAGGGCTATGTTAAGCAGTCTCCTAGACAAGTCCTAAACCAACCCGAATCTTTGAGCAAAGATTGACGGCCCCCAAGACATCCCACAATAACCCTAACTATTCATTATCATAATGAATCTCCCTAAGCACTGGTTGACCCTACTAATAGCAATACCAACTCGTGACGGCGAAGATAATTAATTATTGAGTCATAAAGCGGCGTTGTCGGCCGTACCGATCATTTCTCATGCGATTGGTTTCCGGTAGGCCATATTCAGGTAAAGAACCGAGGCCGACTTTATGATTCTGAGATGGGTTAGAGAAATCCTCTTGACGCTTGACCCCCATCACCTTGCCTGTTTTCCGGTTCTGTTTTCAATCAATGGGTGTCAATGATTTCCGTCCGGATAAAGCAATTACTAGAACAAAAAAGGGCAATAAAAAAATTACAAAAAGGGACAAACCAAATTCTCTATATACGCCCCCATTAGCGCCCTCAAGCACGGGCGAAGAGAATCGGACAATGTACTAAATCCAGTCTAACGTAGTACACGTACATCTTACTGTACCTCAAGGGAGAGAATGTGTGCGAAAAAGACAGCCGCGTGAATAATCCTATTGTCTGGCGTCAATTTAGTGAGAATCCCTCGCATGACTGTACCACATCCCCTTAGCCTCTGTGATCCTTGAGATCTGATCGTTTATCCCCTCTCCCGGGCGCGCGCGGCTCGTTTAGTTGACAATGTGGTGTGTGCTATCTTCGGATCTCATCTGGCATGCAAGATAGATTCGACAGGGAGTCGATATGTTGGCAAACGCCTCACCAGGCCAGGTTGTGGCGCGGTTCAAAAGGTCTGGTGGAAGAAGTCACAGTAAAGGGGGCAGGGCCCGTGCATGGAGGACTCAAATCAATCCAGACGGTTAACACTAGGCTGTGCGGTGCCTAAGTGACTGGGGGGTTTATTTGGGAATATGTTGTGATCATGCAAGTAAACCTGGGTTTCAAAACGCTGGAATGGTTTTCTTTGTTATGCAGTCCCTGGATTTTGGGGAGTATGGGGATGTTTCATCTGATCGATCCTTATTCTGACAAATTTGTGGTGTGCCTCAGTAATCATATCATGTGCAGCGGGTCAATGATCGAGTTTACCCGGTTGACATATTAGGTATTTTTTTGATATTTTTCGGTCTCTATCAAATACTAAAGCAAATTGCCTAGTAGAGGAAAAGTCTTTCCTGTGCATCCTTCACAACCCAATCTAGTCCCTCCTGGAGATTCTTACCTGTCATCGCGCTGCAAGGCAATATCGTCCATTTATGCGTCTTAATTTCGTCGAGTTTAAGACCCTTTTCGCCCAAAACGGTTAGTGCATATTAGGGTAGCAACAGCGGGAATGACTAGAGAAACGATTTCTCGCCTCTTTTGACTTCTCTCATTCCCACCCCCAGATTCCTTAACGAGTTTCATGAAAGACTTCGCTTACCTCCCGGATTTCATCATGAGTCATGCACCCAGCGACGTCGGTCTTATTTGCAAAGACTAGTAAACTCGCTCCAAGTAACCGCTGTAAATAATTAGAAGGCGCTTGTCGTTAGCTTTATCCTCTATATTCATTTTTTACAGTTGATGCCTTCAAGACCAATATGTAAGGCATAGACAAGGCAATTGGGGGGGGGGGGGGGGGATAAGATCTATACCTCTTCTTGAAGAAGTCCATGAAGTTCTGTGGCACAGTCCTCAAGTCGGAATCTATCGGTGGCATCTACGACCCAGATCAAGGAGTCGGTCTTTTCAAAATAGTTTCGCCAATAACTGCGGAGAGTCTTCTGACCACCGACGTCCCCTAATAAGGTGCTCCATGATGTGTTAGTGATATCATAAAAGAGTATCCGGCCATTATTTGGGGTCCAGATATCAAAGCCTCAATGATTGCTTTTTATGACTTATATTTTTGTACTACTCACAAATGTTTAACTTGTAACTATAAGTATCATTAGCTTCGGACTTGATATGGGGCGCAATATTATCATTCTCTGAGAGGGCTGAGGGTACCAAAAAAAGATAGTTATATAGATCAGGTGAAACAATAGAGAGCTTTATTTTTACCCTTTGTAATCAATAGTTTTGATAATGAAGCCTAACGTCGGGCTCACAGTGTTGACGTCTTCCTTCATAATATACTTCACGATGGTTGTCTTCCCCGCGTTATCCAAACCCAGCATCAATACCCGCATCTCCTTGTCCTTTAACTGCGCCTTCCGGAGAATGGACAACATCTTGATCGCTTGTAACTTTTGATTCCGAGGTATTTCTATTTGTTGTAGTGGTGCGGAGGGACTTCCTGGGCGAATCCAGGTGTCGTCTGATGTTGGTAGATTGAGGTTAGTTGGTTTCATTCTCAGCCTCAAGTGTCAATGCGTGCACGGACCAGGGCCATGAACCCTAGCTTCCGCCACTTTCCTACTTTCAACTTCTCACCACCACGCCACACAGTTACCGACGGTGAAAAGAAGCAAGCTTGATATCCCAGCATCCAGATTCCATTGCATCCACGCCAACGGATCCCGATCTTTTACCATCGCCGTAAGGTCACAGCCACACGATCAGCGTCAGCCTTATAGTCAGAGACAGAAAGGGTCTTCAACTCGAGGAAACCGATTACATATATATATATAATAAATCTTCATCAGTAGCAGCAGAAGAAATGCTAGTCCTTGTCTTACTTCATATTTGTAGCTTATTCTCAGGATGACCGCTAGGGACTGTCCAAGCCACTCTACAGATTTACAAGAGGTTATCTGTGCATTCAGCAGGCAATCAACAATACGAAAATTAGATCACCTGTCAACGTTAACAACAGGAGACAAATTCAATATCCGGCTAGAACAAATACCAAAAGTTCTGTTTCAATTGCTAAAAAGGATGTATTAAGGGAAAAACTACATGTAGCCAACAAAAGAAGTTTTTTTAAAAAAGAAAGAAATAAATTTCCCATGCTATGCTATATTTGATGTCACTTGCTAGATCAACTGGCTGTGACCCCTCTAGAAAACCCAAGAAATATGAAAAATGACCTCGAACCTAAAATGTGTTCCCCATATGCATCCGTCTATCCCATCTAAACCATCTAAACCATCTAAACCATCTAAAACGTCCAAAACATCTAAAACATCAAAACCATCTAAACCATCTAAAACGTCCAAAACATCTAAAACATCAAAACCATTTATCCCAAACTCCTAAAGAAATCTATAATCGTCTACCCCAATGTTTAATTGTCCGTTTGCTCGTTGCTCGTGTGCGCTATCGTCTTCGTTACCCATTACCCGTCCCGTTCCCTTCTGACTCCGCTGGTTCCTATGCTTTTAGTACTCCTGCACTGCCATATCATTTCGGCAGCCCCTCTAAAGCGCCCCTCTCCCTTCCGTGCCTCTTTGCCCAACTCCCCCCCCCCCCCCCCCCCCCCCGCGAACCCGACCCTCTTGTGATCCTTCTCCTCCGATCTCCTCAGCCTTACACCTTCCCGCTGCCCTGGTCTCAGGCATTGATCTTTGTTCGGTAAGACTTTGCAAAGACTGTGTTGCTGACACGCACTGTTTAGTTACAAGACTTGAATACTCAATGGCAGAAAAAGAAGAAGAAGAAGAAGAGACAAAACGTGAGAAGAATTCAAAAGGAAAAACCAAAAGTAAGAAAGAAGAAAGGAAAGAGAAAGGAAAACTAAAGACTAGAAGCTAGATCTAATTACCGGCTATTTGCTGCTGTATACTCTTCCACTGCCATTGCACACCTGTGCTTAACCAGGCATTCGCATTCGATGACCCGTAATTCAGCAAACCTTCTCCCGCGGCCAACCTATAATAAAGCGCAAGATTCGACGATCCTCTCTCAAGCACTCCCTGCCTGAAGCTTGCCAAATCTGTCGTCGCAATGTGTACCCTTGACCTCGTAATCGTCTGCCAGTGCTCTCCCAGTTGCCTCAGGGTGCAGGTGTCACCGGCTATATGGATCACGTCAGGCAGGGTACTAGGTCTGCGTCTAGCCACGGACGCTATGGCCATAGCAACATCGCCAATTGATGTGAACGAGATCTTTGGCTCCGCACGGCCGCCGCCGGGAACAACGGCATCTATGTGCCTGTTTGGCAGGTCGACGCCAAACCAAGAGCCGGACGGGATCACATAGTCCATGAGCATTCCGCAGAAGATTTGGACAGTTTTGATGCCGTCTTCACGAGAGCGCTGGGATTGCTCTTGTTTGGCCGATAGCGGCGATGGGAATGTGAACATTCGGTGATCTGGGCCACTACAGAGAAGGGCAATATAAGCATTACTGATCTGGTCTTATTTTTTTCTTTTACGTTTACATGGGAACGTGAATGGATTGATAATGTCCGGGGTGGATGTGCTTCGGGGATATTTTCTGGGAAGTAACTTACAATTCGGATGGAATGTATAGTTTCGCACCACATCGATAGGCAGCGTCGCCAAGGCTGATCCACGACCTTGGGTACACTTTATGCGCACCTATGTCAGCCTCACTCATATATGGCGCATTGGGGGGGAAATCGCTTGAGAAACGAGGTTTCAGAAATTTTAAAACAGGAGGAATGAAGAAGACATACTTCCGAGGAGGTTAATGACTACGTCGACATTTTCTAGGGCGTCATCGAGGACCTCAGGGTCTTCGTAGTCAACACCGAGATATGCGGCCTGAGAAATCCTCAAGAGTCAGTAATCAAGGAAAACAAAAATAGAAGAATAAAGTTTTGTGCAAGTGCAAATGTAAGTGCATACCATTCCAGCTGAATGAACAGGGCCACCGAAACGAGAAGGGTCTCTCATGAGAACTCTTATTGGTAACTGAAAACTTGATGCAAATTGTGGTGATAGTAGAGCATCAAGAGTGGCCTGGCCCAAAACACCACCCAAGCCGGCGATGGCAACCACTGGTCTGTAAGATGAGGACATATTGAATATATAAAATTTCTGAGCTACCGGAGCTTAGGGTCAAAGAAGGAAGAGAGATGAGGATTGATGTAATGTGAGTAATGAAAAAGGTATTGTAGTACTGATTATGGATGGTAGTAGTAGTGCACGGTTCAACTGTATTGTTTCTAACTCTTCTCTAGGTATTGTCTGTAGTTGGTAAAACAGGATGGGGTCCAAGTCGAGGGGGAAAGGGTTATATACAACTCCTGGGCATTTAGAATGTTACATGTTTCTTCGAACAAGTAGCTGTAAAGAAGTTTCATGGAAGCCTCCTCGCATTGAGTATGTGGAGTTTCCGCCGTAGGGTTACCTTCTAGGTGGTTTTGGATTTAAACCCTTTCCCTCCTCAAGGCTTGCTTTGCTGCCTCCCCCTTGGGCTGGGTCGTGTGAGGTTTGATGATGACATATTAGTCACTACTAGCTATGGCTAGCTCCTCCTCCTCCGTGCAAAGAAATAGGTGTCGATATTGGTTGGTTGGTTATGCCATTAAAAACGGCCGGAGTAAGCCTCGGCACTACGAAACGACACTAGCTATTGAGAAGCGAGACGAACCGAGAATATGGGGCATACACTTTACTCTCCGGAGGTTGTGGATAGCGAAGTTGGCTTGGAGTCTTTGTTTTTGGGCAAAACTGAGCCTCTGGGGAGCATTGTTCTTCTTGCCTTGCTTGGATTCTGAAGGAGCAAATAGATTCGCTGCAAGGATTTTGACTGGCGAAACAGAAGACTTGTGCGACTATCTAGACCTAACCGTCTAGTGCTCTACTACATGTAGCTTCAAGTGTACATATGGTTATACTGATCATGACAATATGATGGGCCTGAGTTTTCTCTCTTTCTCTCTCTCTCTCTATGAATGCAAATTGAGAGTAATTACTCAGTGCTTGAAGTGCGTATTGCAGAATATGTGTAGTGCTACTAGCTAACTAGTAAAGTGGGTAATGAGTCACCCGGATAGATAATAAATCTCAGTTGACGTTGTTGAAGACCGGCGCCAGTAGAGTACAACAGGCGTGAGTACCCGGAATTCTCTAAGTATTGATTACAGTCCCGAGACCAGGAAGTGTACCGAACTCGGTCATTGAAAACGAGTACAAAGTACATTCATGTCAAAGGCCGGCTTTGTTTCTTGTGGCGCCTATATCCATCATGCGTTTACCTGACTCTTTCAATGAGGCTGTTCGCCCGGTCTCTGAAGGATAGGGCTTTACAACACATCCGAAAGTGCTCAAGAAGCCTTGACAGGCACAATTTTCATCATCATCGTCATGAAGTAGCAGGTATAACTGTCTTGGTCAGTAGCTAGCTCCCCTCCGGTACCTATTTGTAGTACGGGCGTGATTTCTAGAAAATATTTCCCACGTGGTTGGTGGAAAGGCGGCTTAGAAGTTAGGGGGAGGAGGATGTGGTCGGGTGTTTCCATGCATTAGGTGGGACGTGCCGCACCGTTGGACTGGAAGGATAATGGGCGAGTGCGAAGCTATGATACAAAGAGTACCGGGACAGGATGTCTCCGCTTAACAACAGATCTTTGGTACTCCATCTCTCCTGCCCCTCATCTGATCTGAGGTTGCTTGTCCTCCCCCTGAGGCTCCTTATCCTCCCCTCTCCTCATCATGCCCCTCTTCATACACACGTCTTCCTCATCATCCCCATCATCATCAACAACCTTCCCCTCTCTTGAACAAGCATTCAGAGAATCTTACATGTGCATGTAGGTCATAAGGATAGAGGGCATCACAAAAGCCCCCCCATCTCCCTTCCTCCCTACCGTACTTGATGGGATGAAATGGCGAGGCATGGCATGGCGGATGTAATTTTAACCATCCTCGTTTGTTGCTGCCCTTGTTTATTACTTCCCTTCGCTTAGGGTTAACTACGAAGATCCATCCGAACCGACTCGGATCCCACTAAACCCTGGCCGCCCGACGACGACCCAGCAGATGCAGACACACAGACATGATCACGTTTTTTCTTGTCTGATCGGACGTTGAACGAGGCGCAAGGCACCGGTAGTTATGCAAGGATTGCCGATGGCGTTTTTGATGCCAGCGATTTACCCTCACCTCCTCTGCCGAAGAGGGGAGGGGAACGGTTCGGCAAGCCCGCTTTATGTAAAAGTTCCAGTTGGACCCTTTTTCTTTTGGTCGTTGACATGATGGAGCTTCGTATCTTTCTTTTTTCTGTCATTGGCATGGAAAAGGGACTAGTTATGTAGGTAGTTACCAGAACCACCATCTCGGGAGATAGAGCAAGACGCCCTCCTTCAGGATGCGATCACCTCCTCGAGTCCTAAAAGGGCCTTTTTTTTGTTTTTTTTGCTTGCTCACGGTTTGTCAAGCCATGGTGATCGAAATGCAGTAGAGTTCACACTCGGTACTTACATCTACCGATGTTGTTTCTCCCGCTAGCTAGTAAGGCTGGTGTTCTAACTGTCTTGAGTATTTGGATTTCTTGTACTTGCTTGAAAGATCATGAACAAATTGATATAAAAAAATATGGTCTTATTTATCCCTTCTTCCCTTAACTTCATTGACGGTCTTTTGTAGGACTCGACATGCCGACTTTCCCTATTTGATTTTCAGCCTGTCTGTCAGTTTGTCACAAACAGTTGAATGTCGTCATTATGTTGTACCAAAGTGAACAACTTGTCCAGCCCCTCATAAACATTGAAACATTGACGAGTTAGACGCGCAATACTGGGGTTCGGCGAAAGTACAACATGTAGAGTGACATGACAAGTCACCGTGATACCTACCTGCCAGTGATGGTGGTGATACCCACAACTTTGAAGATGACAAGTTCATCGGGGGAATAGATTTGTTATACACCATGTAATGTGGTCAGCGGTGCAGTGCAATTCAAATCGATACCCTGGTGAATTTCTCACTATACTCTATCTTGAGATCACTCATCAATTCGACTACATTTGCATATTATTTCCAACTTGGTTCCGATTGCCGCAGTGTTTATTACTTACTGGCTGTATGACCTCTAGGACAGTACAAGTTCTAATCCTTGTGCCTGCCAGCCAAACATCCTCAATAACTACATGTACGCACGCGCAGTCACATCTCGTTCGGACTCCCTATCATGCCTGTCATGTATCACCCATGGTCCACCGCACTCCCCCGACTGCATAGTATTCTACGCTACATAGCTGTACCTTACCATACCTATTCAATTGATTGGCAGGAGGGAGTGTGATGATCACAACACTACATCAAGATCGCCGGCAATCTGAGAATTGGATGCACTTCTCTACTCTCACTATGAGATACCCCACCACCACCACCACCACCACCACCACCACCACCACCACCATCACCACCACCAAAAATCCCCCCGCGAACAATATGGATGCGGTGCGATGCCCGGTACACGGGATGACACGATGCGATACACAAGGTGGCGGGATGTTCTACAATCCGAAGGTCACTAGACCACGTTGTTATTCTGTCAGATTCAGCCTGGCTTGTGAATATAAAAGGTGGGTGAAACAGCGAAACAATCCCCCCTCTGTTGCTGCATACGCGTACGTACATATATCTTTACAGTCTGCATACATATACATCATCATACATACTTCCCTTCCGTTCTTCCTTCCTTCTTCGCCTCCATACTCCTACTCTTCGCTGCTGCACCTTGTTCGCCCCTTCCCAGGTTCCGTTACTCTCCGAGAGATCGATAGTCCCTTGCAGCATCGATCCTCACTAGTTACATAGACAAGCCAAAAAGAAAAAAGGAAAAAAAAGAAGAAAAACTTTATACATACCTGACAACCTCCAATTACCTTTCCTTCCATTTATTTGCCCGAGAGAAGTTGAAATATCGTTATAAACTGTCGCCTTATTCAAAATGCCCGAGATGGACCCCCAGGCGTACTCGGAGTTTTACAAATACACCTCCGACCAGATCTCGACGCTTTCCTGGGATCCCATTACCCAAACTCACACTCCCTTCCGCGCCTCCCTAAATCACAGGCACCACACGTGGGCCAAAACACACTTCTCCCGCCCCGAGCTCTACCTGCGGCCTCAATCGCTGCCCGAGATCAAACTCATCGTGACCCTCGCTCGTCAAAATGGTAAAAAGATTATTGTTGTTGGGTCTGGGCACTCGCCATCAGACCTGACATGCACATCGTCATGGATGGTGAATTTGGATGGTTTCTCGTCGGTGGTGGCGGAACGAAAGGATGAGATGCAGTTGGAACTTGAGGCGGGTATACGGCTGCATCAGCTAGCAGACGAGCTGGAGAAGCGTGGATGGGCTATGCCGAATTTGGGGAGCATCACGGCACAGAGTGTTGCAGGCGCCATTGCGACAAATACGCATGGTTCATCACTGAGGCATGGAACGTTGGCGCAGGCAATCATTGGTATTACTCTCATACTGGCGAGCGGGGAGAGCGTCAAGTGTAGCCCAACGGAGAATAAGGATCTCTATCATGCTGCGCTTGTGTCTCTGGGAGGTTTGGGTATCATCACTCATGTCACATTTCAGGCTGTTCCGGCTTACAACCTGAAATGGCACCAGGATATCATAAAGACCCCTAATATGCTTGAAGCATGGAATAAGGACCTGTGGACTCGGGAAGAGTTTGTTCGAGTATGGTGGTTCCCGTATTCTGGGCGTTCTATAATCTGGCAAGCAGATAAGACTGAGGATCCATTGCGAGAGAGACCACCAAGTTGGTACGCAGCGACTCTGGGACGGCTCTCGTACGAGTTTTTGCTGTACTTGGCAACTTGGGTACCGCCGTTTATGCCGATTGTCGAAAGGTATGTGTTTTATATGCAGTATGGGTGGAGTGAGGGCGAGACCGGGAATGCGGTCCAAAAGAGCTATGAAGCGTTGACTATGGATTGCCTGTTTTCGCAATTCGTTAATGAGGTAAATATCACTCGTTTTTCAATATATATATTACTTCTTTCTCGGATTTCTTTTTTCTTTCTTCTTGCAAATATATCCGATCGTTTTGGGGAACCCCTTGTTCAAGAGTGAATAAGGAAGAGGAAGAATTGGCACATCGAGGGAGAGAAGCAGAATTCTTCAAGTCGATGTTGTTTGTGGGAGCTGAGAAACATGTTTCACATGATATTTAACATCAAGCTGGATAGAAGAGCACGCAATTTCTTCTATTCTCATCCGTTGCGCAATGAGCACCTGCGTCATGTATTTCTTTCTTATTTCATACATGCATATTGCAGTCATATGATTTCCTTCTTTTGCTACTTCTTCTCTTCCAAGATAACCTCCTCTGACCCCTCACAGTGGGCCATCCCTCTAGAAAAGGGCCCAGAAGCAATAACTCGTCTGCAAGCCTGGCTAACCGGCGATGCGGAAAATGTCTCCGGCATCCCTTTCTCTTCCCGTGGCATCTTCGTCCACGCCCCCATCGAAGTCCGCGTCTCCGACACGACATTGCAGCCCGAAAAGCCCTGGCTCGACCAATCCTATCATTCGGGGCCCACCCTCTACCTAAATGCAACACTGTACAGGCCATTCCACCGGAATCCGCCCGAGTGGGAGAGGTACTATGAGGCGTTTGAATACCTCATGAAAGAGCTCGGCGGTAAGCCGCATTGGGCAAAGAACTTCACGACAGCCACAAAAGAGGAGTTTGGGCAGATGTATCCGAAGTTGGGCGATTGGTGTAAGCTTAGGGAGGAGTTGGACCCGCAGGGAGTGTTTCGAAGTGGGTGGTTGGAGAGGAATTTGCTTCCGGAGTAGAATGCCGGCGTCGGGGAGGGTGGAAGTTTACATTGGACTTGACCCGCCCCAATTGGACCGTTACGGTGTGTATATAAATTATTTGGTATTGCTATTGTTGCTAGTATCTAGGACTGTTTCTTTTTTTCTTTTGTTGAATAGTATTATTGGTTGGCTACATGTAGCTTAGGTGGGTGGTTGGTTAATTGGCTGCACATCCCTCTCTGAGATAGATGTGGAACTCAAATGGCAAGCATATGACAGCCAGACAAATGGGAACTGATATGCGGGCTGCAACCATTACTCTAGTTAATATCAGTTATCATCCTCTCCGGAAGCTGCCCTCTCACGACATATCAGGTTGGTCCATACGATACGATACGGCTGTATTTCGTATTTCATATCTCATCATAATTCCATTTTTCCCTACCTCTCTCATGATCCCCTAGACCAGGAGATTCACCCCGCCAACGATACCGCAAGGCACAAGGGGAGTTCGGGTCCAAAGAGGCCTTATTGGAGAATGAGTACATGTAAGTAATTATATGTTAGTAGCACTGCAAGGGTAGAAAGGTTTCCTTTTTTTACTTCCTCTTTCTTTTCTTTTTCATTTCTTCAGGGCTTGTTCCGGCCGGTGCTTAATGCGAAGTTACACAAGCCACCTGCAGAGAAGGATTCAACCGTCGTTAACGGCATGTTCCTCACTCGCAGGGCCCAAAGGTCATGTGATCTGGCCTGATCTATAAAAAGGAAGAAAAAGGTACGATGATAAAAGATGGTATTGAACTGCTGCTATGAACACCCATTCCCACCCCGCAATGCAATGCAATATGTTTCAGGCGCCGGGTTTGGACTTTTAGATAATGCAAAAACCGATGTATGAAGAACGCCCTGCGCTAGGTATGATAGGAGGAAAATGAAAAAGGTCCGGAAGCAAAAAAGGGGGGAGGGTGACATAGGAAAACACTATGCTTGCATGCACAAAGGTATGACGAGTATATAGAAATAAAAGAAATATAAAAAACAAGCCTCCCAATGAAAATGCCCAAGGAAGTGAAAGGTCCGACCCGCTCCCGCTATCCCGTTCCAACCCACTACTAGCCCAAGACCGTTTAATTCGTTCAATCGTTACCGTTTTTATTTTTTTGTTACGAGTAACTCCCTATTCAATAACCTTCATAGCTTCCATTGCTGCCGTCAAACCAACAAGTCGTAAACTAGGCTTCCGTGATGGTTGCCAACTCGTGGGAATTTTTGCATCTTCCCAATTTCTGAAAAGCACTTTAAACTCTCTGGGTGCACCTCCCACAATCACACTGCTAACCGGGATGAATGGTCGATCGTCTACTGTTGCTGCAAGAATGGCGTAATCTTGTGCGAACTGCAATGCTGACTGGAATTCGGGCCTCTTAGATTGTGAGTTGGCGCCAAGAACACTGTACCCAAGCATTAGTCCTAGACTTAATTTTGCAAGGCAATTTTGTTTTACAATAAACACGGCGTAAAACATACATATAAAGCTCAAAAAAGGCGTCCACGACGTAGATCTCCGACTGGTTCAGATCTGATTGGCAATATGGTGAAACCTCGATCACCTTAACATAAATATTAGCCCCACATTTACTCGCACAAATCGGATCTTATTTACCTTAGCATGAGACTCCAGATCAATTCTGAAGAGTCGGGTGTTGTAAGAAGTGTGGGCAGGCTTCAAGTGCCAATAGTCAGCAGATGCCCGGTCCTCGCTGCTACCATCCAGAATGTCAAAGAACATGTCAGGTTCGCTATTTTCGTCGATTTCCTGGACTTCGCCCTTGGACATTTCAGAGGCTACAAGCCGAGCAACGCCAATCTCCTCAGCTGTAGAGCCTTTCCCTTTCCAGAGAAAAACCCGGCCCTTAGCAGAAACAATAAAAGGGAAACCAGAGCAAAGACTCGATGCTCTGCAGTCAACCTCATCTACGGCAATACTACCCATAAAGTGGCGCGCACAAAGTACAAAAGGATTCTCGGTTATCATTTTCGTGCGAGATCCACGTCTTGTGGTAACAATGCCACCAAGGGCTTGGAAGAAAGCGGAGGTTTCACGTCCTTGCCTCAAACGAATCTGTCATAATTCAGTATGGTTCATAGCTTTTGATTTTAGTAAAAGTCTTACCAGTTTCCCATCGTTTTCTCTTGCCAATTTTCGTGCGAAGAGAAGTGCATCTTCGACAGCAGGTTCTGAGACCTTGTCCCCACTCCAAAGATACACCTCTGTTCCCTTTGCTCCCAATTGAGTCTTGAATGTATGGATGCAAACATACATGCTCTCATCAAACAACACATTTTCGTACTCTTGAGGAACAGGTTGCAACTTGCCGTACCCAGTAATCTCCGAAAGTTCAGTCTTTAGTGACTGAACTTCCTCGGTAGTATCTTTGCGGTTGGCCATCAAAATACCAGAAATATCCAAATCTAGTCTTGGTGTCTTAGTGACTGATCCTTTGAAAAACCCCCCAAAAATCTGAGATGGCTCATCACGACTTCTTGTATTTTCGAGGGGTGCCAGTGAATCCTCATCATCCTCATCATCATCATCACCCCTCGAAACAAATGATGACGTTCTTGAGATTGCTGGAGCCCCCCAGCTCTTAGTTTTGATCGAAGCTGGTTCTTCATCTTCATTCAGCTCATTAATATTAGGGTTTGTCGAAGTCCGACGCGATAGCGAAATCCTCGAGGTGGCAGATGATGAAAGCGAAGGTTCTGGTAGAACCAGAGATTTTTCGCTCAAAGGAGACTTTGTACCCGACGACTGTTGTGTAAACATTTCCCTCAGGCTTGAGGCTGATGTTGCCTTAAGTAAAGGGGATTTGGCGGGCGTAGGTGGCTTGACTTTCTCTGTCTTTGGTGCATCTTTAGGTGCCGATGCAAATTGCGGATGTCCGGTAGCCGTCTCAACTTTAGGGCTAAGCTTTGGAACAAGATCAAATGGCTTACTGAATGTGATAGGTTTAGGTGTGATAGGTTTTGGAGAGGTTTGTGGGGCTTGCTGCTTTATCACCGGTGAAGAAAATATATCTTTTGCTGATGGTGTACTTCGAGGAGCTTCTTTAGCTGGCAGTACATCTGACCCTTCAAACTTTGTCGGTGCCCTCCTCTTCGGGCCTCGTGCTCTTGCTTTTGTCATCTGCCACAAAGGTCAGTTGATGAGAAAAAAGGAGGATAACGCTATCCATCGAAGCCGACTATTTTGCAATTACTTACATGTGTTAGTTGCTTGCCTTCACTGGGCTCAGAATCATCCTGTTGGCTCCCAGCCGCATTACTCGATTCGCTTCGGCCTGAGGTTGGAGGGGGTCCCCTTTGAAGCAGGTTCGCTAGACCTGGGTTAAATCTACTCGCCAACGATGGGCCCTTTTCCTTCAGCTCTAGTCTTCCGGGTGCCGAGTTTTGCTTGGTAGCAGAGAAGCTTGATGGCCGAGGTCTTGTTACTATTGCTGCCTTCGGAGATTCCACGGGACGCGGTACTACCGGGCGCTCTGATTGCGTAAGAGAAGCTTTCGCAGAGAGAACCATTTCTTTTAGTGGATCCGGTGCTTTATTTTTCTGTGGACCTGCAGTCGCCTGTAAGTTGGCTTTGCCTGCCAAAATCCTGTCCTTCAACTCGTTGTTTGGTACATAGTTGTTCGTTTTTGTAGATCTCAAACGTGTCATAGCATTGAGAAACGGCAGGTGTTCTCCCTTGCCCGCAGCATCAGTCATTGAGCGAGGCTTGAGCCCAGCACGGAAATTGATAGTTTCTTTAGGCGGCGGGGGAGGTTTCTCAAAAACTGAAGTTCTGTTTGACATAGGAGAGTTAAAAACTGGCTTAGAGGAAGGAACCACAGGCTTTTCTCCAATTTCTGGGTTCAGCTTTACGGTATCTAGGCTACCGCTGGGTCGCAACACTGGGATGTCTGGAATACTAGAAGGCCGTAATGGTGGGATATTTGGAATACTGAGAGGCTTTTTCAATCCTATACTCGCAGGTTTGGGGCCTGTAGGGGGGCGAGTAGCCATGGGATCCGGAAATTTCGTCTCAATGATCTTAGCTTGTGTTTTCTCCTTAGGTGGAGTATATGCTTTCATCGGAGCGTTACTGTCTGTGCCTTTCTTCAAGGCACTTTCTAGCCATGAGGATTTCGTTGGACTCCATCTCTTCTGGTCAAAGGTCTTGGTGGGCGATGCTGGTGGTGACATACTCCGGGGTGGGGGAGATAATTGAATATCACCAGATGTACCAGGCGATGCCAGTCTTGGCTCACTTAGAGAACTACCTCGACTATGCTCGACTTGGCTAACTTGACTGAGTTGACTAAGTTGGCTTTCATCTTCTGTGGTTTCCCCATCTTGTAAATCATCGCCCTCAATTTCCTCTTCATCTGCAGCCGCAGCTGCAGCGGCCTCTCTTAGATTCCCATAGGTATGTCTATTTGAAGCCGTAGAGCTGTTTCGCGAGAGTGAACCAAGCTGCTGAGAGTTGCTCCATCTTTTGTTTATAGACCCCTCTCTTTTAAGAAGGGCACTTTGTACAAACCCCCCCAAGCCTTTCGTCGGACTTGGTGTGCGTTCCTTCCGTTCAGGCGAAATTCGGCCTTGACTAGGACTCATTGCTGGAGGTCGAGTGAACCCATCTTCTGAAACAAAGCCCCCACCCACCAACGATGGATCAAAACGCGCAGAGATACTACTCGTAAAAGAGTTCCCCCTTGTGTGACGAGAGATTCCGGAACTAGATGTGGAGGAAGTCAATTGGCTTGCTGAGTGTAGAGAATCACTACGGCCACGAAACGTCGATGTTGAAGATAACGTTTCGTTCGAATCCCGCTTAGAAAGAGCTGGTCTATCCGCCTCAGAGGTCGAATCCTCTTCAAAGCCGAGCTTTCCTAGCATTCCTCCGAAAGAAGAAGACATTCCTGGCAGAGCCATTTTTGCAGTGAGGTCCATGCTTTCGTCTTGAGCTTTCCGCAGTGCACCGGATGTAGCACCCCGGTCAGATGTTTGTCGAAACCATGATGGGTCCTTCGAGCCAAGGTTCTGTGCAATCTGCGAGCGCCGTTTCTCTGGCTCTTCTTCTGATTGAGGCTCTTCCGGTTTGTATAGTAAAGAAGTGGGCCTGGAGACAGAAGAGTGGAACGATTTGGGTCTTCGTTGCCAGGAAAGCGTCCTTGGTGCCTTTTCTTGTTCGTTCCCTGATGTTTCTGCATCAGTCAATGTGCTGGCGGAAAACCTTCCTGTCAGTTTGTCCATGGCAGATTCCACGGAATCTTCCCGTCTATTACCCCCATTTGTATCCTCTGCAGTTCCTGGTCGGGATAAGGACATCTCCAACACGCTCGACCTGAGACTTAGTGGTGCTGAAAGCGGCGAATCCTTCTGAGGTGACAAAGATCTTGCGCGTTCTATCGTGGGAAATCAGCAAACTCCTTCAAAATTCCGGGAAAGGGGTATTCGGCTTTAGGCCATCGTGTAGAGACACCAACCATCTCTCCGGGCTCGCCTTGCTTCCCGCCCCGCTATGATTTCCTCCTCAAGCTTCCTCGCACGTTCCTCATCTTCGCGGTCCCGTTTGTCCCCCAACTCCCGGATCCTCTGCAAAAACTCATTTACTCCATCACCATCCGATTCCATTGTTTACTCTATTGTGCTGTAGAAAGATGGCAAAAAGAAAAAAAGAAAAAGGGTTCGCCGGTAAGACCAAGCTGCTGCTGTTGATTGAGGGGTTGTGTGACGCGTGACGGGAGTTTCGGGGTTAAGAAAGTAGACAAGAGACGGGATGGAGGAGCGAATGATCGAAACAGAAGTAAAACAACAGCTAACAGACGTCAGAGCGGGAGACGGTTTATTCGGGATCGGAATCAAGAGGAGGAGGGGCTTTACGGTGGTCGTGGACCTGAAGGTTCTTGGCAGGCCCGCTGCCTATCATAATCTCACTTCACGTGACGTGTAACGGTCGAGCTTGTTTGACCTATCCTCCGGGGTTTCAACAATCGATTGCGCCAGGCTCTACCCAGATTTTCTGAAACATGAACAGAGTGCGGAGACGAGGATCTACTAGCGAAAGAAGAACGTAAAGCTTGAATCATTTGATAGAGATATAACAGATATGGGTGTGGATGGCATGTGTTGCTGTATGTACTCGTTTTAATCCAAAAACATCAGAGCAGTGGGCCTCAATACATACTTATAAGCTTACAATCCATTTAGCGTGTCCTTGTGAGACTCTCTTAGCTACATAGAAAACCTGATGGATTTTGCTATTTTGCCGTGGAAAACAGGCATAACTTGGGATGTTTGATGTTAAAATGTACTGGATCACGTGATGGGTTGCTCAACCCCTTTCTTAAAATAATATGGAAGCTACATGTCAGAGAGTTCAAGGTACTCGTATCCAATTGAATACAAGAAGGTTGGTCCACACATCCCGAGCTACCTCGGATCACTAATCTCCACCAAAAAGAGAACACTGACAACATATGATGCTCCACAGTTAACCCTTATACTGGGTTTCCACGGGAAATCTCTTATCTGTCAAATTCTTATTTGTTAACTGTCCTACTTTACGCATCTCGTGATCCATCTCTAGGATCTTTTATTTTTGTGTTGCAAGGTATCCTTGTAATTTCCGTCATGATATATCACTCGTCAAATTTCTCACAAAAGATTCGAGAATGGGGCAAGCATATTCCTTGCCCAATCCTGTGAGGGTATGAGGTTTAGCATGTGTGTAAAATATGCGTGTGACGTGACGCAGAGAGCTGGAAAGGAGCATGGAAGCCCGATATCGATAACAAACTCAATCATTAATGACAAATATGTATGGCCGCGCGTGCCAATCAAACAAAGTACAGTAACAATCTTAGCCATAACAGACAGTATATATGTGCTAAATACACTGAAAAAGAAGAGCCCGAATTTCACTCAATGCGCAGATCATGTTCTCCACATACGCGTTGAGCGCTAGGCTCATTTCATAATTTAATTATAAGCACTCTAATTAATCAGAATCTTCCTACTCTCAAAGGATTCTCTCTCCTTCTTGGGGACCAGGACTTCGAGTATACCTATAACATAATATTAGTAGGTTTAGGCTGCCTTCCACGGAAAGCAGGTACTTACCATCTTTTAATTTTGCTGTAATGTCAACCGAGTTCACATAAGCCGGTTTTTTTAAACTCCCCAACGTGATCTTCTTCTCGAAAACCCCGAGCCCCTCTCTCCAACAGTAAGTGTCTTTAGAAACTCTTCACCATTCCGGTAAACGACACCTGAGATCTGGATTTCGGATTTTTGCTACTCGTCCAAGACTATTAGCATTTGCTTCAATTTATTTTTTTTTGCTTTTTTTTTTTGCTTTCATAACCTAATAGAATAGCTTTTGACGTTACCTCGTCGAAGCCAATCCAAATATCTTCCTTCTTCGCGCCAGGTAGAGATATATGTATCACATAGCTGGTAGCCGTATCGAACACATCAGCAGCAGCAGGCGAGAATTCACTGCTGCTCACACCAAGGGGTCCGTATACATTGTCTTGACTATCATGGATACCAAAAAGCTCAGATAGAGATTTGCCGGTAGTGTTCGAGGTGATTTCTTCGAGGGCGATGAATTCCCAAAATGGGACGGCAGGATTGCATGAGGACATGTCTTTTTTTTAAAAAAAAAATTGAGATGTGTATCAGGTCTTAATTATGGTTTTAATTAAACGCTTTGAACGGGCTTTTTGGTCGACATTCTTATCAGAGGGCCGAATAGTTTGGAATTTATATACCTTGAAGAGGTTGGTGATTGCGAATATCAACTACAAGAGTCACAAATCGGCCACGGTGGAACTCATAATATGACCGTGCGTTCATAATAGTAACCATCTTTTTAATGATCTTTAAGATTCTGGATGTTTCTCACCCACTATTGTGTGTATACGTAAGCTGGAAAGGCTTCAGAACTAAGACATAAAACGTAGAGTAGAGAAATACGGAGAGTATTATTATCACGAGCAATATATGATAAGTGATGTTTGGTATTTGTAGTGTAGCTGCACTTTTCAAGAATATCGATCCTTGCAACTGACTCATGCCCATCCAGAGACTACTCAGCAAGTCTCGCCAATAGTAATCATACGGAACAGCGAGGTTGAAATAAAGTTGACGGAGAAATTCGATATCACGGACGCCTTTCTGCAGAAAAGACTGAGTATCACAATCAAGGTACCTAGATAGAGTATTTACCTACCCCAAAGTCGGCATGGCAGCTGGTAGGAGATACATACATGTATGGGCCATGGCTGCCGTGGACGGCACATTTGAACCTGATCACTCAAACTCCACACATGTATCAACAGGGCCCAGCCAATCATGGCCCAGTTTGTGTAGGCAGCACCTCAGAAAAGTGCACGTCTGAGTCGGAGAACAATTATTCCAACTATTGCGTCGAATCGGCACTCATTCATGCTTTCATCGGGAGTTGGAATCACGGTAACGGGAATCTGATGAAGTTGTTAAGACACCATTTTTGATTGATTGATTTCCTCCAGCACTACTGATTAACCTCACATGCTGATTTGCTCGTCGGATCCTTCGGCTGCAACCGACCACCACCTCATCATGGGGAAAAAGTATCCACCTCGCCGAAAATAAAAACTCACTGGCAATAGGGCAATCTGGGAATAATGCCCGACGGCGGCTCAGAGCGTACCTATTCCACTCTTTCGGTCTAGACTTGGGGTAACTAGCATGTATGTATGTTGACATAGAGTACTCTGCTCTCCACTTTAAAGTACAAACCACGCTCTGACCAGTTACAGGCTCTGGAGAAGCCCGATTGGCCGTTTGATAGGTTCATCTGGCAATATCGTACGACACATGTAGTCAAGTGGTGCAGAGACTGGCTGGTAAATAGGAAGGAGCACAATAGACTCGGCCAAGACTACGCCGTGGGGTTAGATAGGAGGGGCCCAGGGCTCGTGAAGCAGAAGTGAGAAATGATCAGAAGGAGAATCGGGTGCTCTCTCTGAAGATATCTTACCTACCATTATTGTTGGAATCCTTTCAAACTCTTCTATTCTTCATGACCCTACCCTCAGGCTCACGTAAAGGTGCAAATATAAAAAACAAATAATGTTGTACATATGGACTGCAGGTGCAGCTGGAGGAACTTTCCGAGGAAACCCAGTTAGCAACCGGCGATGCAAAGTTCGTATCGATTACTACTTCTTAGTTGGGTAGAGTACATGTCGATACCGACTGTCCGTTGAGAGAAAGTATCTGGCCGACAAGAAGGAAAATTCCCGGAACTCAACGTACTCCTTTCCCTCAAACAACCAATGGGAATCATTCCCCACCTCTATCGACTCGGATATTTGCCAGCCAAATCCAACATGCAGCAGCAGCAGGGGCCAGAGGCAGTGCAACCACACCCAACATCTTGGCTTGAACCTTGTTCCATACTGTGCTTCAAGTTGACCGAGGAGGGTGACGGCGGAAAGCGGAAGATGTTCAGGATGCAAACGAGCCGTGTAGGATCTTGCACCTTATCCTCGGAGATTTTTCTGCTGGGTTCCCTCTCATCCATCTTCGTTGTTTCCCTGGGGTCTAGACAAACATACCTGCATCGCACCTAAGATATCCAGTATCGATATTTCTCGTGTGCAGAATCGATGTCCGTTTGAGTGAAACTGCATACACATAGATAGCACTTATGTATCTCATACTCTTCTGTTCATCGAAGGTGGTATTTTCCTTCTTCCCTGGCGGGCAAGAAGATTATGGTTCAGGGAAGGTCCTTTTTTTTCTCGGAGCACGGCAGAGCGGACGCGCGGGAACGCACCCACAGGCGGAATATACCGAGAATGCCGTTTCTCTGTGGCGGTATGTATCTTAAAGTTTGCAGGTGCATACCCCGGCGTGTTTGTGATTCCCTACCCCCATGGGCCACGAGCACGAACGAAAACCAGCTCCTGTTTGGACTCTATTTTGTTTAATTTATATGTACGATAGAGCACACATAATGACTTCTTCTTTTCGGGTGTGTGAAGCGAAGACGAGTAGATTCAATATATTTCTCGACCGAGGTGCCCTTGCTGCCCTCGTTCCCTCAAGGGTACATCATGTACTCTACCTATTATAGTGCTGTTCACGATCTGGTGCATGATCCAATAAGTCGGTTAAGTAAGATGGAGCACACCCGTCACAGGGAAGGCCTTGTCCCCAGATAGAGTGTATTGGGGATAAAATGACGCCAAATGCCTACATACATGTGGACATGCCTGCGAGTGGCCGGTTGGCTCTAGTAATGATATGACAACCCAGGTGAAGGGATACCGACCACGGAGCAAATGTTAAACGAAAACCCTCCCCAAAATAGCGTCGATGTCGTTTAAGATCTAGGTAGGGCTGTAACTGACGGATAAATGGGCTTGAATGGCATGGCCCAAATAGATGGGCGTGTAACATAAGAAACTTATCATGAGGGTTAGGGCCGGGGGGATGTCAATGCCAAATACCACCTCGAACATAGGAAATCAGATTACAGCTATTGAGGTGTGCCGAGATTTCCGTAGCCTGAGAGACGGTGCACTGCTGAGGGCCAGGTTACTCTTAATACTCAGACTGTTTGATATCCATAACAGCCCCGGTTTGAGGGTAGGTCAACATTTCTGTAATCCTAGTTGGTTACAGGTTGTGGTCTAAAAGACTTTTTCGGGTCAAGCGCCGACGCTTACCGGTATCGTACTCTCTAATGCTCGAAATCCCCGGATAATCAGGGCGATCAGCTAGTAATGGTTTTGGTGCCTGGGCATGGGGATGCTCCGGCTAACTTCCGAGATCAAATTATTCAGCGGCCTCTACACTCATTTCCTCGAAGATTTCGCTTCACCTATTTTGTGGGGAACGAAAAAGGTCACAATACAGGCTTATCCAAGACAGGAAGAATGAAGACACATACCTAGAGTACCAGTGTATCAGCCTTCTTTTCTTGCATTTGTTGCCGGAGCCGGAGAGATGCCCTCACACAACACAACGGAAGCGCATCCGCATTTAACGTAACTCCCTGAGTTACCTTAAATTGTTGAGACAGAAACGGTTCTCGTTGTCTTACCTGTGCCTGGGGCGTGTCACTCTCCAGGATGTAGGAGGGTGAAGAGGGCGAAAAAGAAGAATCCTCTCGAGTCACTCCCTCCTCTCTTTTACGTACATGCTGGTGTTGCTGAGGTGTTTGCTGGTCCTGATACCTACACTCCACATGCTGTCCGGCCATGCTATGATTGTTAACCAGACTTGTTGTTTGGCTCGTTTAACGCCCATTCCGCCGTTGGGGGTCACCGTATGGGGCCAGACATGTAAATTATCATAATAAACAAACCAGTTTTTATTATAGGGCCGGCGAACCAAAAGGAAAGAAAAGAGGAAACCCCGCCGTAAGAGTGAGGAAGTAGCCGGGCCTGTCACTCGGTACTCGGTAGCGATTATTAGAGGGTTGTTGTCTCTCTTTCGCCTCTCCACTCCACTTTATCTGCATTTGGCCCACCGATTCACCCATCCATCCACATCTAAAGTATCGTACTCTGCCCATACCTACCGCATCCCAGCCCGCAATATACCACCCCAACTCTCACCCCCCTCTTCAAGATTTAACTGAGTAGAGTGGTGTTAGTGGGGTGAGGCGGAGTGTAGGTAGCCATTGTAATTGGGACAGCCGTTTGGATGAACCATCTGGGGAGAGGGAGGCTTATATTTGTGGGGGGGGGGGGGGGGGGGGGTGTTGGGAGTGGAAACCGTGAAGACGATCCGAGCGAAGCATCTGCTCCACGGTACAGCAAGAGCGGAGCACCGGAGGACGTTGCTGGGACAAGCCACAACGTGAGCCGACGGGCTGCCTCAACCGGGGGACACACTCTTTTTTCGGCTCTTGGTTGTGTTGATTGATTTTGCCCTACTGTGATGTATACTCTTTTCCCTGCCCACGAAGCTTCTTCTGGCTGCAAGGCATTGGTGTTGTGCAAGTCTCGATTCGATCAACGCTGCCTGTTTTTGGCTGTTCTATCACCTCACTCATTCTTCACTACCTAAACCCATTCTTCGCTACTAAACCTGTCTGTCTTTGAACCGCTGCCATTCGTTTCCCCCGCTCTAGCGATTCTCCTTGTCTGAATCCACAGCGCAAAAAGAAAATAAAAAAGACAGAAAAGAAGTGAGAAAAAAGTAAAGAGTGAGAGTGAGACAATAGCAAAAGTAAAAAAAGAAAAGAAAAATGCAGAGAGTAGAATATTCATAAGGAGGGTGAGGGCGGAGACTGCAGAGGAGCTCTCCGGAAAACCGAGAAAATAAGTCATCTTGTGCTCCCACTCCAAGAAATAAGGGATCTTCGCCATCTTTCCCTTCAAAGTCCCATCGCTTTTTCTCTTCCTCCTCCGGACGTTCCCAGTTGTGAAGTTGCCCCGTCTAATTACGTATCCACACAGCAGAAGCCCACCCCCCCCTGAGTCGGAACAGCTACCGAGTCGCTGCTGCTGCTCTCCGCCTGCCAACTGTGACCCCAAGACAGTTGGATCTGACTGCTGTTCGACACGAAGTCAGCTGAATGCACGCGGTGGTCCTCTACTACTTTCTTCTACTATTGAAAGAGTCCTCATTCCCTTCTTACCCAGTATCTCGACTGCATCGTCCCCTTTCATAACAGACGTACCGGTAGTCACGTCGACGACAACGAAAAAAGAAGACCGCAATCAACGGCTAGTGGCATTGGTCCGAGCATTTCTCTTACTGTAGGATTGTGAGCGTACTATGGAAGACAGGATGTCAATGCGACATCAACCATTTCAAGGGCAGCCATCTCTTCCTCACCCTCACTCCCAGGCAAATGGAATGCGTTTATATGATCCCGGCATGAATCCTTCGTCAATTCCAGTCCATAGTAGTGGACAAACACAGCATATGAGCCTCAGCACCAATCATGGAGCGTACCCACAGTATAATCATTCGGCTTCAGTTTCTCCTGGCCCTTCTCGTGATGCTCAGATGCCATCACCATCCTCAGGTCCACCGCACCATTCCTCAGGACAAAGCTTGAATGCGGCTCAAAAAAGAGCGTACCGACAGCGCAGAAAGGATCCTTCGTGCGATGCTTGCAGGGAGCGCAAGGTCAAGGTCGGTTTAAATCCCGTAAAATTCGTTCTTTGATGGCCCCATAAAGCTGATCATTTCATGTCCAATAGTGTGATGCTACAGATGTCAACAGCTGCTCTGAATGCGCCTCTCGAAACGTCAAATGTCAATTTACAAAGGAAACCAATCGTCGCATGTCATCGATTAAGTATTTGGCCCACTTTACAGATCATTTAACAGGGCGATACTAACAACCGAGGAAGACAAGTTCAGGACCTTGAGAAGCAACTCGCAGCAGCACGAGAGCAGATCCGAAAACTCCAAGCCACCAACGGGCACCCCAAAGAAAATGCGGATTCAAATAATAATGATATCGTTTCCGACATATCCATCAATGTACCAGATGTCAATTCGAGTCCACAAAGGCGGCCTCGACCACCCGTTATTCAAGATATGTCAGTTAGGTCGCATGTGCGCAACTACAGCCGCGGCATTTTCAAGCCTCCCCCACCATATAGACAAGTCGGCACTCAGTCAAACTTTTCACCGCCTCTCCCCGAGCTTCCTCCTCAACCAATTGTGGATCATATCTTGGCGCAATATTATCAGACGATTCATTCAATCATCCCAATTCTTCATTGGCCACAGTTTGTACAACGTTACGACGACGTGCGGAAACGGGGCGACCTGTCAAATGTTCCACCTTCCTGGGCATCAACATTGTTTGCTGTCTTTGCTTGTGGTTTGCTCTACACAGCAGACCCAGCAATTAAAGCGAAGTATCCTGATAATGGAAGACAATTCATTGCATATTCTCGCCAATTAACCGACTTGTTTAATGACGAGTTCACCATCGATCACGCTCGATCAGCACTGCTCACCAGTATATATCTTACCGAGCTGAATTGCAAATCTGCTGCTTGGACCTGGTTGGGCTCCACCGTGAGAATTGCTCAGGATATCGGATTGCATCGAGAGAGTGGTCCCTGGCCAGTTGTGGAGGGGGAGATGAGAAGGAGAGTGTGGTGGGGGATTTATGTCTGGGATCGGTAATCTCCCTGCGAGGCACTGAACTTAAAGATATATATATAAAAAAAAAGCTGACATAAACGAACAGATTGCTGTCAGTTGAACTTGGGAGAGTTCTGCTTATAGAAGACACAGATTGTGATATCTCACTACCTTGCGCACTTGATGACCATTTCATCTACGATTCTGGATTGCTAGTCCCTCCTGGTTCACAGCAGCAGCCAGCAAACTTTCTCCTCACAACGATTCACGTGGTTCGCCTTATTAGCCCATTATTACGTTCCCTACAATCGCCAGTCGTATCAACACCAAATCTTGGATGTTTCGATGCGCATTTCAAGACATGCTTATCGGCCTTCCCAGTCAACTGTCATCTCAATCACCCCCAGCCTCTTGAACCACGACATCTCTCTCCGATTTTCCACCTTCAGAACTGCCGACTTGTACTTCATCGTCACAATCTATCAACGCTTTGTTCACCGGAGGTTCGATCGGCGGCAATTGATTCATGTGTAATAGCAGCAAAAGACACCGTGAATTTCCTTTCACGCGCGATGCAATTTCAACCTAGCGATAGGTTTGACTCAAGCACAGGTGCCCAAAACTTAATAGCATCATGTGCCACAACAATGCTGTGTACCCACGTATGGCGTTGTGCACTATTCCTATGTTTCAGAGGGCTCTTTACAGATGCTTTAGTATGTGTTCAAGTCAGTAAAATAATTGGAGATGTACGCGAGGTAAATATCGCTTGCGGAAGAAATCTGTACGGATTTCTACGAATGTTGAGCGAGAAGCTTGCGAATGGGGTGAACCTTGAGCAGGATGAGGGCATGATGGCACTGGTTTCTGGTGATGTCCAAGGAAGTACCGAATCTTCGTGGGTTTGGAACGGTAGCGAGACCGGTCAAGCACTCAACGGCACCTCCCCACGTCACGACCACCCACACAATAACGGAAATGAGTATCCTGTGACAAGTGGGAACGCAGAAATTACTACTGCTTTATCTCCGGAAGAATCAAATGATTGGGGTGGGTGGGAGTATATCGAGAGAATGCTCCATCGTCTGAACAGCGAAAGAATGGCACGGGAACATGCCCAACAACAGCAACTTGCCCCAGGCCCGTGGAACGGAGTATCGGGACGATCAACACCAGTACCGAACGCCTCGTCATCACGTATCGCCATCGCGAATATCATCTAATTATCGCCAAGTCGCAATATAGAACGAACTCGAAAATCGGAAAATTCACATAAAAATGGGCATTTGTTTTGGATTCGGGCATTGGGAATGGGAAGCTTGTGTCTGACGGCGCGTGGTGTAGTTGGAAGTGGTGTGTTTGGGGCTGGTTGGTTATATTGTCGTTTTTTTTCCTTTACTTATATATTTTGTTAAATTTCAACCGTGGGCAGACGGGAAAGCAGAAGGATTCTGACAATTGTATTTTCGATTTTCTATCGTCCCCTTCCCTGATTTGATACCTTTCACGCTTTTCTTATAAATGCATATTGTATCCTATCTCTTTGTGTGTGTTCATGCCGATGCTAGTTTATTTCCTTAGTTTTCATTCTTGATACATTTTTTTACCTCATGGACAAGGGCAAAAACCTTGGTGTTCGTTTTTTTTTCTCTCCCGAAAGGTATATGGTGGCTTTTGGCGAGGTTAATCGGCCGCCATATACTGTACATAACGGGGCCTATATTTCCTCCTGATTGTTCTCTGGCTATGGTGTTTTTTCCATCTATTCACTGGGATCTGATCATTGGTTGCATTTAACTGATGTGCATGAACATGCGTTAATGCGCTACTTTTGTTTTTTTGTCGCCTCAGCCTTTAGTACTGTATTTTTAGATAGCACTTATTTCTCTCTTTCTCTTTCTCTATCTCTATCTCTATATTTGATTGGTTATTAGGGTTGATGAGTATTTATCTATCGTCTAGGTGGCGGGCCCGTCTTGCTTATTATTGTTTTTTTTCGCTTCACGTTTCCGGGTGGCACTTTAGCTCTGATTTACTTTTATTCCTCACATTGGATTAAGTCATGAGAAATGACAACAGTTTAGTTTGTAACTTGAAATTACATATACGAGCTTGCTTTTTGGGAGTGTGCAGAATGCGGGGTTTTTCAGTGTTGTTGGGGGAAGGGTGTGGGTTTTTTTTTTTTTAATGGTGTTAGTGGGAGTTTAAGCATTAGTTCCAAAATTTCTGTGGTCTAGATTGAGAGCCACACCTTCTGAGTGACATTCCATGATCTCGGTCAACATCGTCAGCCTTGATTATATGTGTCATTGTGAGAATGATGACAAGATTCCATCATTCAAGTTCAGGCATTTTCAAGCCTTGCCATACATGTATAGTGAGTCGTCCTGTGGTCGTCCGAGCAAAGTCTCACCCGGGGTAGAGGCAACTTCAATCTCGCCTTTTGTCTCTAGAGCCCGAGATTCCCGGCCCGTCTCTTCTAAAACGCCCATCGTACATACATGGTACTTACCCGATTTGCTGCTTGACATGGGGGTACGTCCTGCCTAAGTTTTCACCACTTTCATTCTTTGCTCGGTCTCCACCTTCCCTTCCTCTTCTCCGCGGTTGCTTGCTGGTTCACGCATCATCACTCGTGGCTTCCACGATAAAGAACACAAATAAATTGCACATTTATGTAGCCGTCCCTGCAGAAATTGTCCCAATAATGCTGACCGGGACCTCAAGTGCTGGAGATATGTTGAAAGCCAAGCCCTGGCTTGGCCATAACAATATACGTGATAGAACTTTGGAATCATAGATCAGAACCGTACCATCCCACGCCTTGAGTACCCCAAGCTTACTCCGACAACATGAACGCTACTCTACACAGCGTGAGGATGTTGATCCGGCACTATCCAGTGTTGATGAGGCTGGAGATGCACCAGACCCAGGTCACGGTTAGAAGTCCTTTTGCATCGCACTCCGTTTTCATTTCTAAGTGCATACTCATTTCCAGCATTTATATTGATTACTGGTTTCATCGGCTGCAGATTGATATGTCATGGAGACAAACCGGAGCGAGATGGGGGATCTTGGTGCTCACATGCACATCAGGCCCAATCCGACCATGCGGTAGGTAAGCATTTGGTAGGTAAGCATTTGGGGTACTATGTTGCAAGTATTACTGTGGGTTTCAAAGGGTCGTGCCACCGTCGTGGGGGTTGTTAATGGCAGACATGCCCAGACATGTCCCCGGATTTATGTGTGGGCACGGTCCTCTTCATTAAAAACGTTGTTCAATATTGGACATCTCCCGGGCGGCCGAATGATCGAATTCATATAAGGTCCATACACCGAAACTTCGCCTTAATGTTGTGCGACGAAAAGCCTTTTTGGATGGACTACCCACTTCAGAGGTGGCCGGAATAACTCAAGAAGACATGTTTCATTGCCTTTTCGGGACAAAACAATAGAATGGACTGCATTGCATAAATACCGTGTCTCCTTCTTGCCTGCCCTCCTGCGGGTGGCGACGCTGGATTGAGCCAGCAGTAACAAACTGAGTCGAGGAAATCTTTTTCCAGATGTTGAACTTGCCGGTTATCTGAAACAAAGCAAAACGAAGCCTTAAAAGAACGCAAGCACGCACGAAGTATTCTGAGTCGTTTTTTTAAATCACTGTTCATGGATAGCCAGTGCAAGCCCAGTTGAAAAAAGGTTTGAAGGAAAAAAACCTTCAGCTTGGGAGTGTAGTATTATGTCTACTAGCTAATTGATTCGTCAGTGTGCATTTAGGGGCAAGTAAGAGCTATTATTTATCAGGAACGGGTTCTTTAGGTTTACCTGCTCCGAATGCAGGCAATACGCTGCCGGTTGATCTGGAAAGGGCCAGAGAAAACTTCCGGTTACTGGTATGATGATCTCGGCTGAACTCGCGGCTGCAGGCAAAAAAAATAGAGAAGCTACAAAGTGAGGAAGGAAAAAGCAAATTCTGGCAGGCAAACAAGGGGGCTAACGCCACAAAAAAATATTTGGGAAATAAGATTTAGGTGGCACGGGACAGATATGTATTTCTCCCGGAGGGCGTTGAAGACAATTTTAGCTACAAAATGGTGATGGCTGGCAGGTAACCGGAAAATGGTATTGCGTTGCGAATGACCACACATCTCGGAGCTGGATGAATTTGAATTGTCTCTAGAAGGAATACCTAGGCTTCACTGTGCTCAAAAATTAGCTGTGAAGCAACATCTTTGGGGCTGACTAGTACTAGAGGGCTACACGTAAGTGCAGTTATTCGAAGATAATTCAAATGGGCTTTTAATCACTCCTGATCACTCGCCAGACACTAAAAGATCACCGCATTAATGCCTCTTGGGCTTTTATGAACTAGTAATAAAGCTTGTTGTATTATCCTTATCAATATATATAACACTTACCCTACACTATGATCGTTTTGTGAGCTTGGGGAATCCCAGTAAGTTTATTCGAATGGTAAACGACCCTCTCTCTATATATGCAATTGGTTATTTGTGACTGGTGCCACATCACAATTTAGTCTCTGGATGCCCTAATAACTTAACATGGTACGATAGGAATCAAAATTGCTGTTGATCGCATTGTTCCTTGGTCCTTATTAAAGTTCTGTTTATATATCAAACGATTGTGGTTTTTGGGCCTAATAGGATCCGGTTTCATTAATTCAATTATAGCTTGCTAACATCTTTGGTGTGGGAGAATGTGATCGGGTGATGCATTCTTCCCCCCGCGGTAACTGACATCTAAAGAATAAAGAACCCTAAGTTTACACTTGAGAGCCAATCAATTGGAAATGAGGTCTGATTCTCCGAGGAAACTGTGGAGTGACAAGAAGGGGGTCGGCCCGACATGTTCTTGGCATGTTTATATTTTCTCTCTATCAGAGTACAGGGTTCTGTTTTGGGTGTTTGGATTTTCAGGGACTTAATCTTCCCCGCATATTCATAATTTAAAGTTTGCTTGCTTTGCTGATTGTCTGGGAAGCGCTGGCCTTCAGAAATATCTGAGGGCTACCTATATCCAAGGGTCCAGATAGTCTCTATCTGCGGTACTCCCAGTTGCACTTCTTGGACCTAAGATCTCAAAAGGGCCTAAGCTTGGTGAAATCCGTGTACGGAGAAACCGGCATTACTAAAGACTTCGAGTACCAGAGGTGATGGTAGCCCTGCGACAGGTCACGGTCCTATTCATACAAGCACATCTTCTCTAGTCGCACCCCGTCTGTCTTCGGATTTTCTTTGCGCCTGTATCACTTTGTTAGTGCGATTCTAAACATGTTCGACGGCATAGGTGGAATCATGAACCGGGAGGATAATCATATATATTCGGAGCGACAGGGACTCTTACTAGGATCTTACCGTCTGGTTTGTATGGCAGCTGGGTGTGTTGCGGAAACTTCGGCAACGGAGGCAGTTGGTAGGGCTGCCAAGACCCGCGTGTGTTTCCTTTTTGGGTTGGTGCGGGAATGGCGAGTGAGATTTGATGATTATAGCTCACTTGTGAGGAGGATGTGCAAAAATAATAGAGCTCATGAAGTATTCGTGGTTCGCAATTTAAGATAAATTTATATGCATTAGATGGAGCGTCACGGGGTCGATGGTCGTTATACTAGCACTTCTGGGCGGTCGTGCACATGACTAGAGACTTTTCGAAGGGTATGCAGAGACAGTCTGTTTTATTATATAATTTTAACCTAAGCTCGTCACGACCACTGATCGTAGCTAAGTAATCATTGCTTGAGCCTAGATATAGGTAGCTTATCCACAGATTTAAACTGTATGGGTAACTTGTAAGTAGATCTGTTCAAAACGTACTAACCCTAGCAAAGGGCATCGAAAAATTAGTAATCAGTCTGATCTACCACGTAAAAAACTTATATTATGGACCTCATCAAGAGCATCTCGATATTGGATCTACCAATGCTCCTATGCTAGATTAAGTATTAAGTCAACCATATTAGCGCCAGTACCGCGCTGAGTTTAAACCTGGAGCGTTCCGGTAATAATTGGTAGCCCAGCTGGTCAGATACCCCCCCCCCCCCAATAGTATCTACGGGCGCTTCTAGAATTCTTCAATGTGCTAGCACTGAACTAGAGACATAACTACCAAGGTCAAATACTCTTGCACACAATATCAACTGAGTTGAACACTAAAATTGATGGCCTAGCATGTACACCTCACATAAGGGGGGTACTGAATTATGAAA